AATGAATTGAAAATTATAAGCAGAATTAATTCATGAAAACGATAAGTAAAACCGTTATGATAGTGAAACAGAAGAAATGGTTTTTACGAAGATTTCTTTTCCAAGCCATAGATTTGAAAATATAAAGGTATTCTTCTTTTTTATTAAATTTTTTTTTCTTACTGGAATTGAATTTATTTATGCTCGATTTATATAGGTTTAAAATCCTTATATCGATCTAATATAATCATAGAAATGGATGAATTTTCTCAATTCTCTTAACTTTTTTTAGCTATAAATTTTTTTGGATAAATCTTAAAAATCATAAAAATTCAAGGCAAATTTTTTTCAAAAATAGTTATTAGTTTAGAACCTTAAAGTTTGTCAGCGATTTTAAAACAAACCTTAGAAATGATTATTACTTTTAAAAAGTTTTTTTGCAATCTTTATTTCATAAAATTCCTTTTAAAAAAATTTGAAATCTAGAAAACAGCTGATTTTAAAAATTCTAAAAGTTCAAAAAATAATAATAAAAAAAACCACTGAAGTATTGAATTTTATCTTCGCAATTTATCGCATTTAATTTATAAACAATTCATGCAAAAAAAATCGAAATGAAAATTTTTTAGAATTTTTAGATAAAATAATATTAAAATTCATAAAATAAAAATAACAATAAATATGAACTAAAAAGCAATTAAATGAAATCGCTCAAATAATATTCGCTATTAATGCTATTCAAGTTTTATCTTTAATGATAAAACTGATCAAAAACAGATTTCTACTTTAATTTTGATTTTAATTATTAATAATTGTATTTTATATAATAATTATATAAAGTGCATCTGAATCCTAGTTCTGAATCTGAATTCATAATAATCAAGTTAATTAATAAAAACGTTTTTGACAATGCTACATGAAAATATGAAACAAATCTTGACGATATGGTTTTCAGTAGTCGATTAAATCACCTCAGAAATATAAAAAAAAATATAGCTTTGAATAAGCTTCAAAATGCAAATAATTAATATTTAATTAATATTATATTATGCACCAAGGAAATTAACTATTCATAAATTTTTATAATTTATATTTTATTATTTATTTATCACAATTAAATATTAATTTATCATTTGATAATTTAACGATTTATCAATTATATAGGAATTATTCCACTGTATTTATTAAATTTACTAATGCCTAAAACAAATATAAATATTAGTTGGTGGTGTAATAGCCGAATGATCTTTATTAAGATTAAGTTGTTCAAAAATATCTGACCACCTTTTCACCATAGAGTCACTTGGAGATAGAATTACACCAATTAATATTTATAGAATTACAGATGGGACCCCAAAATCACCCAGACTTTTGACATGCGTCAAAAACGAGGTGGTCCAATTAAGCCCTGGACTGATAAGGTCAGGAAAGATATGAACGTATAGGTGGACCAACAATATATGGACTTCCGAGGTTCGATTCTCCGCAGGAGTGAACCTGTACAAAAATCCGGGTGATGCTGGCGACTCACTCGTACTTCTATCGCCAAGAGACTCCCTGGCATATTGCTCAATTGCGACAAGTCAGTGGAGCGAGTTTAATCAGCAATTGTGAGGACTCTTAAAAAGATGAAGAAGATATATGAAGATATATGAAGAAAGATGATATATGGACTTGGACGATGGAAAAAAGAATGGCTGCTTACTATCGACGATAGCGTCAGACCCCGCCGCTTGGAAATGTTTTACTATTGTAGCCAGCCTAATCAGGAATAATGAGAGCAGCTGAAAGGTTTAATTAGTTAAATTAATATGAAACTTTTACATGGCCCTATCACCAGCAAAATAAAACTGCCCATTAAAAATCCACGAATGAGATTATCCACTAATTATTTATAAATGAATTATTAAATGAAAACATAATAGAAGGGAATTCGAAGATTTTGCTCATTTAAATATTAGAATGGTTAATTTTCTTTTTTTTTGCAGAATTCATATAAGTAAAAGTAAAAAAATTATCACAAAATGATTAAGAGTTCAACATTTCAGTTTTATGTTTGTTTCACTGGCTGTTAGCATTGTGAGGAATTTTTATCAGGTAATCACTTCAGGATAAAAATATTAGACGGATGTTAGAGTTTTTGAACTTTTTAATATAGGTTTATTCTCATCAATGGAATTAGCTAAGCCACAACCATTCAGCCTAGATTTTGGTTATCCTAGATTTCTGTAGAGAAAAATAAAAGGAAAAATAAAAAATGAGAAACTTCTAATCTAATTAGCTGAATAAAATTAAAATTATATATTATAATTCATATAAATAAAAATATTGCATCAATGTATATTGTATATTAGCTTGATTAAGGTTATTTGGAGTTAGCCAAGTTGCCGAGTTTTTCCAATGGAATTAGCTATTCAAGGAAAAAAAAGGCTAATCTAAAATGTTTATTAATAGAAAAATATGCTATAAAATTTTGGAAAATTATAAAATTTTTTTATAGGATTTTTTAAATTTTATATATATATATATATATATATATGTATATATTATTTATATGCAAATTAATAAATTTATATAAATTTGTTTAATTTATATAATTTATATAAATTTCATATAATTGTTTAATTTATATAATTTCATATATATTCATTAAAGATTTCTTTAATAATTATGTTTATATAAGATTATGTATGAATAAAAATGAAAGAATGGATTTTTGAAATAAATTCATCCATTTGACTTTTATTAAGCTGACGAGGAGATAAATATAGGAAAGATAGAAAATATTACCGAACAATCTGAAATCAGCCAACCATATTAAATATGGCATTGAAGTATTAAAAGCTTAGTATTACTGGCAATAAAATTTTATCATCGTTTATGTTATTATATAATTCTCTTCAAAGGATATTTATCATCGTTGAGTTTATCATTTGCACCATTGAAAAATTTTTCCACTAAAAAGAAAACAAAAGAATTATATAGGCAAAAATAAGGAAAAACTTTTCCTGTTTATCAGTATTTGAACTGATTAAAAATTTATAAACATCTTTGAAAACGTAAACAAATTATTATTTATTATATAATTCCGAAAAAGTATTTCCCATTCAATGATTTGGAATCCAACTTTGAATAGAATTAAATTAGCATATATTTATATAAAAAAAATATTTGTATCAATATTGGGAAGGGAATGGGGAGGGGGGGAGGGGGGAGGTTAATTCTCCGAGAGGTAGTCAAGTTGCCGAGATTATTTACTCGAAGTATTCGTAGCCACTGGAGTTTGTCAAAAAAGGAAAAATTTGATTGGTCTAAATTATTTATGAATTTTTTCCATTCATAAAATTCGAAAATTCATAAAATAAATGTTGTATATTTTGATGTAATTTTAATGAATATTCTATGATATAAATTTTAAAGATTTTTTTTTAAAACTAAATCATTAAAAAAAAGGCGATGTGGAAATCGGATTTTCAAGTTTTTCAATCCAAGGAAAGAAAAAAATGGAGAAAATATTCAAAGAAAATATTTAAAATTATGCAAAAAAAACTGAAAAAGTTTTTCCCCATTGATTATAATTTATATATTTTATATTATTTTATGTTATGCATTTTATAATTTTATATTTTTTATATTTTCTTAATTCAATATTTAAGATTTTTAGGGTTTTTTGAGATATTTTCAACATGTAAAATTGATTAGGGGCATAAGAGTCAAGTGAATGTTGTAATTTAAATTATCATTTCAACACTATAACTCAACCATTGCATTCAGACGAAGAAATAAACTGGCGATTCGAAAAATCCGAATAGTGCCGACGGCAAACTCTCTATTTCTAATCGCGTTTGACTCATTGGCAAAATTATCTCGTTCTACACTGAAGCGATTTTTGTTCGGAAGTGATGAGTGTGCAAAATCATTTATTGTTTTTCGATCTTCAAAAAATATAAATATTTGATAAAATTATGAAAAAATTCAATAAAATATACAACATATAATATAAAATATACAACATATAACTATATATATATAGCAAATATTAAATATAATATAAAACAATAATATAACAATAGCATTAAATATACATAAATAATAAATGATAAATTGATGATGAAAGATTTTGGCAGAATTTTTTTAAAATTTAAAAAATTTAATTTAATAATAAAATTTATTTTTTAATATAATCCTTTTTTTTCTTAAAAATTTCCGCCAAAATCTTTTTTTTTCATTCGCTATTTTTGTCAAAAAATGAAAATCGCATAAATTTTTCCAAAGAATGGCTTCATTTTTATTTTTCTTATAAAATAAACTAGAAAATAAATTTCTTGAAATTTTTTTTCAAAGTTTGTTCTGCTTTTAAGAAATTATTTCCTTAAATCTTTTTTTCTTTTTCTTTTAATCCACAAAATAAAATAACATTCGTCACATTGTCAAACAATTGCAGCAAAAAGTCGATTGACATTCCGATCATCGATAAATTTTCACAGAATTGATCACTTCGATGTATCGACTCATTTCATCGATTAATATTTCTATTATTTTTCCGAATTATTTCATCAATTTGATAAAAATTTCCTCGAAATTCAATTATTTCTGATAAATTATGACAATGTTTGTGGGATTCTAGCATTTATCATTTCTCGTTGACTTCTGCTGCCGAGAAATTTTACAATAGAAATAGAAATATCATTCGGTGCAAAGTTTTATTTTTATAAATTCTAAATCTAAAAAACAAATTAAAAAAATCTCAATTTTAGAACGAATACCGTAATAAATTGTTAAAAATCGTGGAAGATTCAAAAAATTCTTCTAACGAAAATTTGAAAGAATAAAATGAGATTTGCTGGGATTCAAGAAGTACTGTAACATTAGAAGTACTTTATGATAATTTATTTATGATAATTTTATCAATTCTAATCAATAATTATCGCTTAAATTTATCATATTTGGAATGTTTTATTCAATGTGATATCAATAATATTTCATTATTTCTTTTTTTATACGAAAAATTAGAACTATAAATGACAATTTCGTATAATTTGGATGTGTCAAGAGCGTCAGCTTTTTCTTTTTTTCGACTTCTTTTTCGATGGAAAGCAAGTATATGGAAAATTGCACTTAAAGAATTATTTGTATGGACAATTTTGTTCCTCATTATTTCATTTATCTATCGTACGGAATATTTTCTTACAAGCGAACAAAAAATGTTTGTTTCTTATTTCTTTTATTTTCTGAAAATGCTATTCCTTTTAGTCTTTTAGAATTTTAAAGGACGTAGATAAATAATAAATTTATATAATTTTATTTATTATTTATTATGAGAAACTTATTTATTATAGTGAAATTTTGAGAAATTCACAAAATTCCATTATTGTCACAAAAAAATTACAAAAATCTAAAAGGTGATATAAAAAATTTTGGAAAAAAATCTGTTAATTAATAATTGAAAGTATTTAATAAAAATTAACGATTTGCAACGAAAGCAGCACAGGAAATCACTATTGGAGTGACATGGAATGGAGGCGGCGGCTCGATTAGATGATAATAGGAAACTATCCACCTTCTTCATATGGCAACTATAATTCGGGGAACGATCAGTAAAATGGCGTGCCAGTCAAGAGTAATAAGAACCGCCTCATAAGATGGAAAGAATTCTTTGAGGTCAAACTTAACCATGAAGCGCCATCTGTTGCCCCTGATATAACTGATACGTTCGCTGAACCATATGCTTCCAACTGCGAGTCCCAGACAGAAGAAAAAATAAAATGAAATAAAATTTAAACATTGTCCATAAAATAAAATTTAAACATTGTCCATCGTCCTTCATAATATACTTGTACTCTCTGGTATAGGAAAAAGAAATATTATCACACGTGTTTCATCGATTTTGCGGCTGCCTTTGATTTAACTGATAGAAAGGCACTTTGGAGGGCAATGAAAACAATGTTGTTCCAGAGAAGATCATTCGGCTCATAAAGGTATTTTATAGGCGTACGTCGGCTCAGATCTGTGTATATGGGGAACTGACAGACTCCTTCGAAATAAGAACTGGTGTCCGTTAGGGATGCGTCCTTTCTCTCAAAATATTCAACTATGCGATAGACTGGATAATGGACGCCGCTTGTCGGCATTCAAGGGGTATCCAAATCAGTCCAGAGCATCGTATCACAGATCTTGAATACGCTGATGATGTGGTCGTTTTTGCTGACAATTATGAAATTCAAGTTATGCTAAATAACGTGTCAGAAACTGCAGCAAGAATAGGACTCAGGGTCAATGTATACAAAACGAAAGTCTTTTCGTATGAATAGAAAGCTGATAAAATGCTTGTTTTTATAAAATTATTGCCGGTCGAGGAAAAAATCCCGATAAGAAATCCCGATTTTAAATACCTTGGGTCCACTCTAATGGCCAGGCAAAAGGCGATATTATAGCTCGGATCAGCAGCTAAAAAACCGTTCTTCCGCTCAACGAAACCTTTATGGGGCCGTTGTGAAATTACCATTAAAACAAAAGTCCGCATCGATATTACCGTGATCCGTTCGATCTTACTATATGGTTCTGAGACATGGCCAATGAGAGTGGAGGATATTAAGAAATTATCTGCCTTTGACTACTCTTGTCTAAGGTATATTTTACGGATCTGTCGAGCGGATAAGATATTACATGATCTCATCCATCTTTGTTCAAATACCACCTGTACTAATACTGTTATCACAGAGCATCGCTTTCGGTGGTTTGGGCACGTTCTCCGTCATCTACCACAAGATTTGTCGCATATTTCGTTGCTTGCTAAACCGTGTGATGGATGGTCAAAAGCCAATCAAGGCCTGGACTGATACGGTCAGGAAAGATTTTGAACATATAGGTGGACCAGCTACATGGGCTTAGATGATGGAAAAAGGAATGGCTTCTATTACTGTCGACGATGGCATCAGATAGCGCCATTTGGAAGCGTCTCACTTTTGTAGCCGTTGGAGCGAGCCTAACCAGTAATGATGAGAGCTGTTAGAAGAAGAAGAATTTAAGAAGAATTTAATAAAAAATGATCATTTAAAAATGCTTTTTCGATATTTTTTTAAAATTATAATTATTGCAGAAATTTTCAAGTTTTTACCGCAAATAGAATAGGGTATTAAGGTAAAAAGAAGAAGAATCAAGGCTGGTAATTATTTTATTGGCCTATCATTTTCTATTTTCTTGAATAATTACCAAGCCAAGCAATAAGCGTTGTTTATTTTTTTATATTTTTTTTATAATAGAACAATAAAAATTTTATTGTATTAATATGTTTTGCCTGATATCAGTGATTCTTAAAGTGGTCTTTTGACAAGAGGATTCTTTGAAGTCCTTAAAAATTTTATTAACCTCGTAAGAATTTTTAAATGTGCCTTTCGATAATACTGTAATAATACAACAATACTGAAAATGAAAATGCTTTTAGTCTTTAAAAAAGATATCGAAGATGCAGAACCGAATTCCTAAGAATCGCTTTAGGCTAAGTTCATCGTTAAAGCAAAAAATTTCGCTAAATTAAACGAATTTAAAGGATCTTCGAAGATATCGCTCATTATTTCAATACTCGACTCGATTTTATTCCCTTAACTTTTATACTTGGATTTTTTGTCAACATTATTATGACACGTTGGTCGTCCTTATTCGATAATATGGGCTATATTGAAAAGTTGAATTTTTATTTTCTTTACTTTTTAAAATGATTTTAAGATTAATTAATTAATCTAAAGATTAATTAGTTAATTAAAAGGTTGGTCAACTTTTTTCGAAACCTAAATACTACTTAAGGCCAACCTGTAACCTGTAACCTTCTCATTTACCCTTGGCTCATTGTCTTAAGTCAAAACATCGTAAAAGTCATAAAATCTAAGTCGAATGAGGCTAAGCAAAATTTCTGCTATTTATTTATTTTTTTATTTGATCGTTTAATTTTAAGTAAGTAAATAAACCATTTTTTATTCTTAAATTCTTATGTATTTTATATTTATTTTTTATATTTAAAACAAACAAAATTCTAAATATTTCTAATAAAAAAATTTTATTAGAAGCCTTAGAAAAGTTTTGTAAACAAATGATTTCCACTGGAAGCTTATTTTCATCATTGTTATCGCTAAATTGAAGAGATCCAAGAGAATTTCTTCAGTTATGCAATACGCATTGGAAATTATATAAGAGGTGATGATGGTGAAACTCGATTAATGCGCAGAGCTATGGCTCGATATTTGGTTTTAACTCAAGTTCTTATCTTTCGAGATATCAGTATAAAAGTAAGAAAACGCTTTCCAACGTATGATAGTATTGTTAAAGCAGGTTAGAAATTTCTTTAACAAAATTCGAAAAAATTCGTTAAATAATCGAAAAAATAAGCTGTTCGCCGATAAAAAACAAAATTCCTAACAGAAAAAGAATATTGATGAAGATTAAAGGTTAAAAAGGTCAAACAAGGTTAAAATTGATAAGATTTATAGTTTGATACGAAAAGATTTGCATAAAAATAGTTGCAATGATCTCTTAAAGAAATCCCTTGTAAATTTTGGACGATTTATGTGCAATATAAGAACTTGGAAAGAGTTTCAGGACGAATTTTGATTAAGTCGAATTTTTTTAAGGAATTCTTTTGGAAGAAGAAAAAAATAAGCTGAATGCGATAAAAATCCATTATGATAAGTATTGGGCTCCAACTAATTGGATATATTCACTTATATTCAAAGCAAGAAGTCAAAACAAAATCACTCACGATATATTAGCCAGCAAACTTTGTGATGTTAGTTAGAGAAGATTTGATCTATAAAAAAAAAGTACCAGTCAAAATTCTGTCTGGTCTAATTTGAGAAATTATTTTACAATTTTGTATTTTATAATTTATAATTTTGTATAATTTAAAAGGCCAAGGCACTCTTGAAAGCGTGTGTAAAATTTAGAAACTGTTGATGGTGCTGGCCATTTGAGCATTAAAATATCTGGAAAAAATCTGGCTGGTACCAGAAACTTGCATCTATCTCGAAATAGCTTTCTAAGTACCTCGGACATGTATCGTAATTCATTTTCCGGGACAAAAAATTCAATCTGTATTTAATTATTGTTGCAGGAAATAAAAGAATTCCGATATAATTTACAACTGGTTTGCAATTACGATTGGGTTCCACTTCCACTAGTTTATCCACAAGTAAGCGAAAAACATTAATAGTTTTACGAATATTGGAAATTTGTAGTTTCTCAGTGAGTAGAAACCAACAAATTATGCGATCTAATTTTTTCTCGAGAAATGCCAAAACTATTTTTCACCATTTGCAGGCAGTTTTTTTGGCCGTTTACGTCTATTTTGGAGTTTGTCTTATCAGTCGTCAATTTATATTCACTGAACGAAATGTACCTTATAAAAGCAATGTTAGTCAGTTTAATTTGCGTTATTTCGAAAGTTTTTTTTCTTTTTTTTGCAATTTTTTATTTTAAGATATAAAAAATATGGGATATTCATTAATTGTTAGAATTAGAAGAATAAATCTGTACAAAAATCCGAGTAATGTGATGCTGGCGACTCATCTCTACCATCTATCACCAAGGGATTCCCTGGCATACTTGCTCAATGCGACAAGCCAGCCAGTTTAACTAGTAATGGGATGAGGACTCTTAAAAAACAAAAAAGTTACCAGAATTAAACAATTTTTTCAGATTGATCTAATTCTTCCACTCATGACTATGATTCAATTTTTTTTCTTCGTCGGTTGGCTAAAAATAGCTCAAGGCCTACTGAATCCATTTGGAACCGATGACGATGACTTCGAATGTAATTTCCTCATCGATAAAAATCTTGCCGTAAGCAATAATTCAGGAAAAATTTTTTAGGATAATAAGATTCATTTAATTATTTATTAATTATTTATTTCAATTATTTATAAGATGCTTAGCATTTCAAAAAAAAAAAAATGAATTTTGATATGAATTATTTTAGACAAGCCTATGCATTGTCGATGCTGAATATGATAATCCTCCAGAAATTAAAGAAGATATATTCTGGAAGAAGCCTAAATTTGAGCCGATTTATCCGTTCGGCGAACAGCCATCACGTAAAATGTCCTTAACTAGTTCAGCATCTAATTTTAAGTAAGTACCATTTATTGCCTATGAGGACGATTTTAAATATTTCGATTTTTCGAATTACTTCTTCATTTTCTTGAAATGCTTACTGTAAGAAAACATTCAACAAGTTCAAATTATCATCTATTCATGCGATATTTCAGATCACCACGTTTACGAACCGAAATGGTGGTTAGAAGAATGAACCAACCTTCTGCAACGCAAGGACTAATATCACCACGCGTACCTTCCATATTTTCGCACTCAATCATAATTGATTCACCAAAATTTAAACGAAAAGTTTCACCAGCTATGCCGATTTAAAAATGAATTTTCATCTCAAAAGCAACGAAATGCGGACGATGCTGGCGACACGTCTTTATTTCTACCACCAAGGGACACTCTCTGACATATTTGTCTAGTGCGATAAGCGAAGCATCTAACCAGTAATAGTAAGAACCATTAAAAAATCAAGAATTAAGTGAATGTTAAAAAATTGATAATTCGGATTTTATCTCAAACAGAACTAAAATTTTTCATTAAAAAATGCGGATGGTGTTGGCGATTCATCTTGTACACTAAAACCATGTAACCTGAAAACACTGAAATCATAAAAATACTGTAATTTCAATTATTTACTCGAAAAACTGCTGAATAGTTATACAATTAGTAATGATAATATAATGCTCATGAAACTGAAGATAAACTGAAGATGGAAGCATAACTGTTATATAACTGTTATATTATCATTCTAATCAAGTGAAAATTTGGAACGCCGATGCTGAGATTCTAGGTGCTGAGGCTCCCGCAATAGTAAAGCTATCCAAAAATCCGGACGATGCTGGCGACACGTCTTTATTTTTATCACTAAGGGACTCTTTAACACATTTGTCTAGTGCGATAAGCGAAGCGTCTAACCAGTAATAGTAAGAACCATTAAAAAATCAAGAATTAAGTGAGTGATAAAAAATTGATAAAAATTAAATGAATGTAAAAAAAATATAAATGGAATTGATTGGTTAGGTCCTTTTTGAATACAAAGTGAGCTGAAGGACCATGAACCATGAAGTTGCACCAGGCTATGGAACTCGATTGGAAATATTTTGTTTAAAATCGGATCGGAAAGCTCGCTCATAGAATTATTTTCAGCACTAATAGATATCCAAAAATCAACGCAGCACTGTAATTGTATTAATCGTTAAAGACTGCTATTTTTATCAAAGTCGTATATTTTTCGTTTATCTATGTAAATAATTAGATGAATGGCATCGTATAATCCATGACAAATTCTCATGAAATGATAAGAAATATTCTAAATGACTTTAGGTAGATTGGACCTAAAATTAGTTGTTTCGAACAGATACCTCTTTAGCTTTGAATGAAAATATTGGAAAATTCAGTTGAAAATTCAGGTCAATTTAAGATGAAATTATTCTAAAATTAAGTTGAATTAAGATGAAATTAAAATGAAAAATTTAGTATTTTAGCTGAATAAATGAATTATTCAAAATTAAAAAATAGGATTAAATATAAAATTTCTCAAATTCTGAGAAATTATCTAAAAACATAGAGGAGAAAATGATAAAAAGCAAATGATAAATTGTTTTAAAATTGATAAAAAGATTAGGGATTTGAAATGAAATTAATTAGTAAATCAAACTTTTAAGATAAAAGTTAATAGATAATAAAATTAAATTAATTCTATTGTAGGGGTCAAATCTTAATTTGGTACCTTCCAAGGAGAGTCCTTGGGCGAGGCTCTCTGAAAATTTGTCTGCCTTACCTGAATCTCGCAGGCTTCTGATAGAAATATTTGAAGTTATAAAAAGCGGTAATTGGTGTTTCTTCACGTCCATACATATGATTCAAATTCTCCTAACTCACTGGTGATAATCTTCAACGCTAATCTACAAAACTATAAAAAAAACGATAAAAATACTTAAATTTTATGAAGAAAGCGAAAATTAAAAGTAGAACTGTGAAACTCATTTCTCATTTTCTTATTCGCCTAAGTTAGGCAATCGAAAAAAAGAAAATAATCAAAAATGCAAATGATCTGATTTTGCTTACAAAAATTGTATTTCATTTTTTTTAATATTAAAGGAAATTTAGCGAATGGCAAGCAAAAAAAAAATCTCAAAAACGGCACATTTCTAAGCGCGTAAATTTTTTATTTATTAAAATTCCAATGTAAGGGTACAAATCTTCTTTTTCCTTGCTAATTAATAGTAGGATTTGAGACATAACGTGTTTTACGCTGGCTTGTCGTATTAGTCGAATATGCCAGAGAATCCTTTGGCGATAGAAGAATAGATGAATCATCGCCAGCAATTTTAAAGATGTTTATTTATTCCTGCGTAGAATAGAACCTCAGTATCGGTGCTCCGAATTGAGCATCAATCCACCGACCATTCCTGAGGTATTATCTATAATATTGACCCACTAATGACTATAATTTTTCTTCTACTTAGTTGAATAATAAAGGTTGGTCAGCTAAGATTTTTTGTATCCCTTTGGGAATAGTTTGGAATACTGACAAAATGCCTAAAATCAGCCAGAAATTAGAAATTGAAGACAATTATTGAAAATTTATGCAGAATTATCCATTTTTTGATTAATTAATTATCACTCTCCACCGGTTTATAAATGAATTATCAATTTTATTGTACTTTCTGAATTTCTCACTTTCATTTTTTTCATACAAAAATAACTTTTATAAAAAAGTAATATATTGTACAAGACCAGAATAATAATATAGTACAAAATGTAAATATAGATGATGAAAAATAGCAGTCTCTCGTCACGTATTTTTCTGGTTTTGCCGCTATTTTCCATCGACAGAACGGCCCTTTGGCAGATAATGCAGCTTAAGGCGTTCCAGAAAACATAAGATTCTTATTAAACGTACACGAGCTCTCCAGCATCTGTTTTTTATCTTACAATTTTCAGCTATACAACAGATTAGGTAGGCTATGACCATCCGTTACACATATAAACCAATCCAAAACGTAATACAATAGACTTTAAGCTAATAATGCTGCCTTTTTCGTTGACATTTATGCAATGGAATTACAGACATTAGACGAAGCGTCAACAACAAAAATATGTTTTAAAATCAACATGAAAAAGAATAGAGTGGATCCGAAAAACTTATTTGATCTCATGTAACGGAGGTACCAATCTACAATTTTTCATTTATTCGTAAACGGCCGGAATTTATCTGGGATTCACTCTTATATCCAAACGAAATATGAAATTGCAACACGGAAAAATGCAGTGCGTGTTAGAGAAACTCAAACAAAGCAGCTGTTGCAGGGACAACTTCTCTTCTTCTGACTATAAATACGACCAGTGCGAAAGGGAGATATCAGAAAACTGTCCATTTCTGACCATGTCATAGGCACATGCTGCATACTGTGCAAAATCTCACTTGATGGCATCCATCCTCATCAAATACCATCACCACTGAACCCACGGTGATTATGGTTTTTCTCCACTTATTTCACAAGAATTCGCGCATTCTCTCTAAATGCTATTGCGATAAATCATGTGATGGATGGCACCAAAAAATGAAGATCTAATTAATAAATAGATGGGATAGATTTCGAGAGGACATTCGGCTTAATGATATATGGATTTAAGATTTAGGACGATGGTAAAAAGACTTGTTCCATGCATAGTGTCGTTCTGCAAATGCTTTAGTTCCATCGGAACCAGCAAAATCAATAACAGAGCAAAGAAGAAAGACCAGCAAAAATTCAAAGACAGACAAAACATAATCAGTGATTAATTTTGTAAAATTATGACCGGCATAAGATTTACGAACCATTTAAATGCAAAATGCAAATAACAACATGAGAAAATTAATGCTGACCGGTTATTTTTCTCTTCTGATCGCGTGCAATATTATGAATTGAACGCCATGTTGGCAGACTAGGGTGGTTTTCATTTTCGAGTATTTGTCTGCATCCATAAGACTGGCCCCCTTGCAAAAGATTTGTCCATTCCCAACGCCATTGGTAATTTTCTATGGGTCTTTGAGGTCTAAATCAAATCAAATGTAAATAAGAGAGAAAATCATGAAAATCGCTATTATTAAGTAGTTTTTTACCCTTTGAACGATTTGTTAACCTAGACTAATGAAATTACCATCAGAATGAAATTGCACCTAATTTCTTTCTCATTCTCACTCACTATTTATAGCTCTTCAGATGGGAACCTTTATTCCAAGATATATATGGAGAAAGTACAAGTGAGTAACCAGTACTAGTAATATAGTTATTCTCTGTAAACGAGAGAAATCGGACCAATACACCTGACGACAGCCAAATCAGCCATTAAACTACATCAGTTCTTAATTTGTAAAATAGCAAAATTTCGTTTAAACTTACTGCGATTTTTTTGTGATAATAGATTTCCAAAAACCAACACAGCATTGAGATTCTGTGAATTGTTCACAGAAAACAGGACGGTTATTTCCACTTTTATCAAAAGCATATATTCTATGTTTACTCTTTGACCAACATAAAATCCACGGTTCTTAAAGATATTATAATCAAAAATATTGATTACTGAGAATATTGAATAATATTGACAAAATATTAACACATTTTTTCACAGTTTCTTGAGCTAATTTTTCAATATGCTACCAAAATGTTGCTCCGATATTAAAAATAATACCAATTAAAATTGAAACAACGCGCATCCCACGACAATAGAAAAATGCTCCAGGTTGGTCTTCAACAACTGCAATTTCTTCGCCTCGTGATCGGACAATATGGAATTTTTCTAATTCATGGCAGAGTTTATCCAATTTGAATAACTAAAATGAATAAATAGTGAATAAATAAAAATAGTGAATAAAATAAAATGAATAGCATTGCAACAAAAGATTACTGAAAAAATAAAAATGAAACTAACTCTGGCAGCAAAAGCTCGAGCTGGTCGTCTACCGGGAGGATCATGAGCCAATCTTATAACATCACACAATTTTTGAGCGGCTTGCATTCGTTGATCATATGGTAAATCACTAATATCATCACCATCGATCACAGCAGCATCGAGAATTCGTAGGGCTGGCCGACCTTCTTCCAAATCTCGCTCGCCTAACTGCGAAAATAAGGAGTATAAAGGGCAAAAAAATTTCAAAGGAACGTAATATTGAAGTTGTTACGGAATATCGCAAAATAGGTTTACTCCTTTCAAACGACAGCTATTTAACCTATGTTGCTTGTTATCGACGGAAATATCTGAAAGTCTTATCTTTCTTCTTTCTCTCCAAGATATTCATTGAAATATAACAAGATTTAAATTTAAAAATCACCCTTTCATATACTGTTGTTCTTTGCACAAATAATACTGTATCACAAGGCATTTGAATATCGAAGTTTAATTTTTCAAAATCACTAATGGAATTTGGATATCGACAAAAAATACCCATTTTCTGAAATTGCTTAAAATGCTGCTTACCTCAATTCGCAACTCGCAATTAGAAGTTTCACTTAATAAAAAACTGAAATTGAATAGCAAATAATAGCAAATCTAATTAAAAATTACAATTGATATTAGGAGAAATGGTTGTTCCTTTTCTGTAAGAGCACACATACGAAGTTCAGCGAATCGCATTCGATTTTCATTATGATTCGATATTTCCGAATCGCAAAACACTGAAGGTGGACGTGATAAATCTTCAAAATCGACAACCTGAATTAATTTTGCTTCTTTTGTCACAAATAAAAAATCTTAAATAAAAGCAGCAAACCTTTTTGAATAGGCGAGCAGCTGCAGCACTGAGCGATTCAAATTTATTGTTGGGTCTTCTTTTGGGAATATCGGGAATTAACCAATAATTAAGGCATTCCTCTCGCAACTTTCCTTGACTAATATCGATTTCACCCGAATTTTTTGCAAAAACCCGATACTTATTAAGATATAACGTTTGCCGTTTAACAAAACTGAAAATAATAATATGAAAATAATTGCGTGGTTATTATTTCACTTAATCTTACTGTATTTTTTTGCCAATTTTCGATACCAGAAATAATCGGAAATAAAGACACATTACTTTCACAAAATTTTTTATTATATTCAATATTTTAAATGCTTAATTTCATATCATATCAAACCTTTCATTGTGGTTGACTATAAAGTGCATAAAATCTCGATCCGATTGGATTATATCAGCTGGAACAACTTCGTTCACATCAAGAAGTTTTTCATTGCTATCAACTAGCTTCTGAAGAGTATTATTAACAGAAGTCATATGATCGCGAATCAGTGCTCTTCCATCCTCGATTAGACCATCACAAACAATATATCTAAATAGGTTTTTTGTAAAAATGTTTGAATATTTTAAACAAGTGAATCAGAGATTCTCCATCTTTTTCCTGTATCACCAGTAAAAAATTTCTCTTTTAAAACTCTTATTTTTATCTTATTTTTTCTTATTGATTCCTTAAGAATTTTTGTGTTATTATCGAAGATTTTAAGTATATCATATGACAAAAATGACAACTATGGTTTTTAAAAACTAAAAAATTAGGGAATTTTCGTTCGAGAAAAAACGATATAAATGTTTGGATGCTCATCTGGTTAAAACTGATCTCATTTTGCCTACTTGTCTACTCATCCACAAAAGACTGCTCGAGGTCCATCGCCCCTAAGTGGTCCAAATCAATTCCCTCTTGAATATAAGCAATCTTTTGCTGAATGTAAACATTTCGCTTCTCCAATAATATGATATGCTTAGAAAAACTGACTAAAAAACTGATAAAAATGACCTTTCAGAATTAGCAGGTCGACTGGTATGTGGTTTATGTATAGATATACGTTTAAATGCAATATACATAAGATAAATAAGACCAATACTAAAGGGTGTAAATATATCGAAAAGTTTGCATAAAAAAACTCCTCCTACGTTGCCTTCCTCAGCAGTTCGCAATATAGAAAGGCCAACGAGAAACTGACATAAATAAAGACGTTTTGATAAAATTTCCTAAAATTCCTATATGATTAATAAGTCATTTCATTTAAAAGCCACAATTTTTTCCATTAAAACAATAATTTTTTATATTTCAAATCGAAAATGGCCATGAAAACCCGAAGGAAAAATATGAAACAATGATGTGCAACCAAACCAAAATAATGTGAACTAAATTTGAAAAGAAGAACTAATAACCTGTATATTCTCTTGACCTTCAACCCCAAACCCACCATCAGCCATCATAAAATCAACACCACCATTGGTCGCCTTCTTCACCAGCTAGAAAAAAAATTAAAAAATTTAAAAATTTAACAAAAAATTTTATATTTAAAAAAAATTGCGCTGAACCATGCATCATAGGCAGGAAAGTATTTAGCTCTAAACTGATTATGAGATTATGTTCAAATAAATTTAAAGATAACCTCAGCAAAAGCAGCAATATTATCTGGTCTAGTCACATCCCCATCATTATGAGGACCATAATATGGCTCAAAATAAGCAGGAGAAGATGCACCGAATCGTTCAAATTTGAAATCATCCGGTCCTACATAGAAAATCATTAAGTTAAATTTCATACAAATTTGATATTAACGTATCTCCTTGCTATGAAATAACCTTTCAAGGTGAAACCAAATCCTTTAGCATTGTAAAAGCCTTTTCTCCAAAGCATATATTCTGTGAATCCACCAGGTCCAGCACAAACATCAGCGAAATAAAAAATCTTGCTTTCTCGATCTATGTTTTGACCAGTTTTGGCTCTTGAGGAATGGATATTTTTTATGTCGATATTTTTTATAGGATTCTTTTTTTCAAGCGAAGTAGCATCCTCCTTTGAAAGTAGCCAGTTATATACTCTATCCATGTTTGCCATTTTCATTGCGGCACTGCAAAATAATTTACCGTGGAAAATTTGGATAAAATTTTTGGATAAAATCTCGATTAGAGAAGCGAATTTAATAATTTGAGGGAAAATTTTTACCGATTTTGAAAAAAAACTGATCCAATAGTTTCATACGGATTTGCACGTGAACGAGCTTCTCTTAATTCTTTATCGCTTAGATGGTCAAATACATTTTTTGCTTCTAACATTTTAGTTAATAAATTCTGAGAGCAATACTGAGTTTCATTATCAATTCTTTCCTTCCTCTGCAAAATCTCTATAGCTAATTTCGCAGAAAAGAGAATTTTTATTTGATACTAAAAAGCTCAGTTATTTTCTCTCATAAATTGATAAAAACGGCAGGATCAATAGTTTATTAATTCTGAAACAAAGTTGAAACAGAAAACGCACATCACCAACAATTATCCATTCTTCGCATAGTGAATGTCTAACATCCACACGCACATCTTCATCAGCTGAAATCCACAATACCGTTTCCGTCACATCTTTGATTTCCAGAGAATCATCCCATTTTGCTTCAAAATCTCGCCCAATATCCTGCAAAATGCAATAACAAGTGTGAAAAATAGAGATGCAAGTTGAAGAAAGGGGAAATTTATTTGTTTCATATTAAAAATTCTGTATAAAAATTGACTAATAATTTTCAAAAATCACCGTAGTAGCCTTATGGCCTAAACCAATGCGACCTCTCTGTGTCGATAAAGGGATTAAATCAACACGACCTTGTTCACTTTTACCGAGACCACCACCGCCATAACCCATCTTTGCCAATATAGCTGCACCTTTGTTTTCACTATTAACTGTAGACTATAAAAAAGAAAACATTTCGAAAGATCGCATAAAAAAGGGAATAAGAAGAAAAGATGTTTTTATAAAAATATAAATACAAATTCGTTACATACAAATCGTAAATACAAATTACAAAATATAAATACAAATTAGAATCCAACTTTTGCTTAACTTTTGTGCAAAATTTATATTAATGTTAGCGGAAAAGCATTACTATAATTGAAGTAGGATTAATTTCATAAGTGGTCGATTCCTGTTTTGTATCGTCTTCATCACTGGGCACTTTTTCCAAACGCCTTATTTTAGGGATCTCATCCAGTTCTTGATTGTAATCTTCCCATATTGCTTTACGACGCTTTTTTACCAGATTTTCCATATTCTTCAAAACAAAAAAACAAATGAGAATAAAAGAATTATCTTTAAGAAATAGCTTTATATTTCCTTTCATTGCTTATAGCTTTTTTTCCAAATTTTTCTTCTAAATTTCTGGTTACTAGCTATGTTATCCAACCCGATAACATATCTGCGCATTCAGAATGCTTTGATGCCAACCAAACAGGACCAAGCATATAGCCAAATATATAAAAATTAGCACAGGCGATAATAATTATAGGAGAAAAAGTCGGAAAATAATTATAGGAAAAAATTTCTTTCGCTCGGCCATAAGAATGGATATACGATATTTAAAGTGGTTTTTTCATACTTAACGAGTGATGAATAATAAATTGTTTATCAGCATACAGTATGGAAAATAAAAAGCCTTTCCTGTTTTACATCGTAAGCAGTCGTCTTTAAGATTTGATCTCAAAAATATCAAAAAGTATTGTTTAAAAGACAAATACAACGAAATAATTATAGAAAGAGGAGATCTGCAATTTAAAAAAGGACCCATTTAATAGCCTATAATTCGCTAATTCAGCAAAACAGTAGAGTCTTCTTCTTCTTCTAACACCTCTCACCATTACTGGTTAAGCTGGCTCCAACGGCTACAAGGGTAAGACGCTTCCAAGCTGCGCGGTCTGATGCCATCGTCGACAGTAATGGAAGCCATTCCTTTTTCCATCGTCTAAGTCCATATATTGCTGGTCCACCTATACGTTCAAAATCTTTCCTGACCGTATCAGCCAAGGTCTTGATTGGCCCATCTCACACTTGACGCCTGTCACACGGTTTAGGAAATAGCGAAATATGTATCAACTCCTGTGGTGGACGACGGAGAACGTGCCCTAACCAGCGAAGGAGGCGCTCTTGATAACATTATTTATGCAAGTGGTATTTGAAGAAAGATGGATGCGATCTTGTGATATCTTATACGGATCCGTAACGGATATGTACCTTAGACAAGAGTGGTCAAAGGCAGATAACTTCTTAATATCCTCCACTCTCATTGGCCATGTCTCAGAACCATATAATAAGATCGAACGGATCACGGCAATATAGATGCGGACTTTCTATGGTTTTTATGGTGATTTCACGACGATTCCAAAACAGTAGAGTATAAAGGCATGAAGGAAACACATATTATAGATTAATGCTTAGAGGGAAAAAACTACCGTAACTTCAAAAGTTGTTGATCCTTGTTTATTTTCTTCATCATTTAGCGTTTCGCTTGAAAGCGCCTTCTTAGAAACTGTTTCATGTACATCACAACCTCCATGAATTGCTTTACGATGCTTTTTTACTCGATTTTCCATAATCTGTAGAGCAATCATTAATGATAAATCATTAATAATAACGAATAAAAATAAAATAATTATTAATGCTCATTGATATTTACAAAAAAAAAATATTGAAGTTGTCCAAATTACAAATGCAATACGAGGAATAGATAATAGAAATAAAAAGTTTATAGAACATGGATTTATTTCACCACTTTAACAAAGCATTAATAGCGTCTGTGATAGGCTAATGTAGCATTTCGATTCAGATTCATGTTAAATTTAAACATAAGCTTAGATAATAGTTTTAGTCTTATTTATTTAGATTATATAGTAGTTAACAGTGTTAGAGGAAATGAGATGGCTTATCGTGAGCTATAATTTTATTGCTACGATTATTTTTGTCCCTTGAATTTTTTCAATGAATTATTGCTCAATGGGGAGCGCCGATGCTGAGGTTCGATTCCCCGCATGAGTAAACCTGCACAAAAATCCCAGTGATGCTGGCAACTCACCTGTATTTCAATCGCCAAGGAACTCGCTGCCATATTATTCAATGGGGCAAGCCAGCGGAGCGAGTTTAACAGTAATGATGAGGACTATTTAAAAAAAAATAAATTGCAAAACAAGCAAACCAATTTACGGCTATCTTCTTCATCGTCATCACTGAATTTATTAGCGTTGGAACGAAGATGTTCACCGCGACGTTTCCTGTTTTGTTTCGAATTTGATGCGTAATTCATCGATTAAAAAATCTTCAATAATATAAAAAAAATAAAAAAATCAATCAATTTAAGAGTCGCTCGGATAGATGATTAACGATTTATTATAAATTTACGTATAAAAAATAAATAAATGGCTAAAATACACTATGAAAATCCATACTACAACGCAGCTTCGGGCATTTAAACAATAATAAATATTTTTGCAATTGAACCACAAAAAAAACCACAAATACATGGTAGCAAAAAGAGAAGGCTTCTAATCAAATCTGAATTATACAAAATAGCAAAAAAGGAAAAAAGGTCACTGAATATGGCCAACGCCATGGATGGAACGATAATAAATAAGGGTAGAAAGAAAATAATTTTAAGAATTTAAACGTGGTTCCATGTCTTAAACTAATTATAAAAGAAAAAAATATAAAAATAATAAATAAATAATACTTTATCAGATACTAAAAATATCAAGACGAGGTAAAATGGATTAATGGTTACTGCTGTGGCTCAAAAATAGATTAGCGATTACTGCTATGGCTCAGAATGGATTAGCGGTTGCTGCTGTGGTTCCGCTTCCTGCTGAAGCAAAGTGTCGCCTTTGCAAGAATCCATGTGGTACTAGCGAACTGCTTGTATTTCTATCATTAAGTGATAAAATGGACTGATAAAGATTTGTTCCGAGAGAGTCAATGGAGTGAATCAAATCAAAGATGGCGAGAAACCTTCAAAAAGAAAGGAAAATGAAGCAGAAATAATTGGAAGAAATATGAAGAACGCCAAATGGCAAAAAAGCAATTAATTTTTCGATTATCTATTTAAATGAGAAAATTTTGTCAAAATTTTCTCATTTAAATATTTTTTTCACCAATTAAAACCAATTTATTTCGATGTTAATTTTCGAAGGTTAACGATTTAACGACTCTATTCAATTCTTTTCAACTCAAAACTCTCTTCTACGATTATTATAGGCGAAAAAGTGATTACGAATCTATATTTTTCCGAATTGAAAAAATATAACCGAAAGCATACAATCGTTTCAAGATAATAATTTTAATATTGAAAAATTGCAGCTAAAAATCGACATTACTATTTTTCGATTTTGTTTTTGCACTATTCATTTAATCTCAAATTTTATTCGTTGAAAATTTTAATGATTTAATGAAAATAATTTCTATGAATTTGAAGAGAATTGCCGTTGTTAATTTTTTTGAAAATTTTGAAAATTTTTTGAAAAAATTTTCGATTTTTAATTTTTATTTTAAAAAATTGAAAAATATATGTTTCAAACTTAAATAATGCAGTTTCATTTCTTTTCACTTTTTTTTTCACTTTCTATTTTAGCTTAGAAATAATTTCTTTTCTCCTCTATTCTGCTTCCCCAGTATTTCCCCCCCCCCGCCTCCCCGCCTCCCCCCGCCTTCCCGCACCTCCCTCTCCCGCTAACTCCGCATTCCCTCCCTTTCCTCATCTTTCTATTCCCTCTCTCTCTTCCATCTAATTTTTTTCTCGAAATTTCCCTTTCTCTGTTCTTGTAAACGATAGGCGAATTTAATAACGAACATATAAAAATGAATAATTAATCCAAAACTAGTGAAAAATTTTGGAATACTATTTTAAAAAATTGATCTTTGATGTTTTATTTATAGTTTCATCAGCTGGCATCATATCCTCGTTTAGACGAGAATAACGAAAATAAATTTTGTTCCAGATATTTTTTGGATTTGAATTTGCGTTCGGATTGATAATTGTTTGATTCCGGTTTGATTCCGGCTTGTTCCGGTTTTCTCCAGTCAATGATTGAACGTGAAAGAAGAAGCGCAATAATACGAAACGTGGTATTTTTTTTTTTGAGAAACAAGAAAAATTTTGGTATAAATCGTATGAAAAATGAGTGGTAGTGGTCGAACAAATCATGATATAATGCAGTTGATTCGTTATTCTGATTCGTTAGATTCGAAAGTCTCGGAAAATTCTCGCGAAGCACTTAAAAGTTTAATCGATCAAGGTTTTTTTTCACACTTTTTTTTTCTTGTTTCATTGGTTTTCATAGATGTTTATCAAATCGATCGATTTGTCCGAATTAACTGATAATAATTTAGCGATAAGTAATGATAATTCTTGATAATGGATAATTGATAATTGATAGTCCCACAGAGCAGTTTTCAAATGGTACAGGGCATAGAAGATGTAAACCGTGCAGAAACTTGTAATATTATAAAAAAAATAAGAGAAGGATTTTGGTGAAGAAGCAGTACGCGCACTGGAAAGGTAGATGATAGAGGGAAATTGAGAGAGTGGAAGAAATATGCAAGGGATATTAAATAAAGCTGTAGTTCACCCATTTCCCATCATTTGAAAATTATTTCTTATATTTAGTAAAAATGATAGGTGATAAATGATAAGCGATAAGTGATATAATGGTAAATAAGTTATAAATTTTTATGATAAATTTAGCACCACTTTTATGATAATTCGTTTTTTTTTTTTTTTTTAAAGTGATAGCAACTTTTCAAGAATAGCAACTTTTTAAAAATAAGGTGGAAAAACGGACAGAATGGTTAATTGGTAATTTTTTAGGAAAATCATTTAATTACTAATACAGTTTTAATATTTATTACTTAAAATTAAATATACACCATTTCTTGCCAGCTTAAAATATGGGTAATTTTTAATTTTTTTTATTTTTATGATTTTTAAATAATTTTCATTGAAGGTGAAGCTATAAGCCAACTTGTTGATTATTATACGCAGACTCAGTCACGTAACGCATTGAACTTATTGTGTCGTATTAAAGAACCACATGATAAGGTTTTTTTTATCGCATATATCATGATTGGCTTCTTGCTCTGATTTTGGAAACTCATATGGAGTCTCTTTATCTTTTTCAACACCATATAATTGGCCTTTTGAAAAAAAAGAAGGAATTGAGTTTAATATATTGCGTTATCTATAACTGGAAAGTGTCCTTTAAACTAAATTAAATAGTAAATTTATTTCTGTGAATCTATAATCTTAAAATTTAATTAAAATTTACATTATAGTGTGCTTCTAAGAATTTTTTTTGCCTTTTCTAAATTTTGTTTTTAATATAATTTATATAAAATTTAGGAGCTTTGTAATCGTTTACAAGAGCATCTAGAAAAGCATCCAATGGCGATAATGCTTCTACTTAGTCAAATCGTTCAAAAAGCGCCATGTTGGTTAACGAAGTTCCCTGAGCATAGTCTATTTGCTACTATTTTGCGTCTTATTCACGTATTATTTATATATTTTTTTCTATTTTTATATGAAAAAAATGAATACGATTAAATATGTTTGTAATTTAATCTTGCTTAATGTTTATATATCATATTTCTATAATTTTTCGTCTTTGTGGGAAAAATTTATATTTATCATTTATTATTTATCCAAAAATAGTTTTTCACGTTGTTTTAAAAATAGCTGAGATATATAAGCATGTAATTTGGTCATAATCTTTTTTTTTTATTAAATTCATAATTTTGTTCCATTCATTTTTTTCAGTTGTCGCAGAATGTAACAGTGATCGTAGGTGGTATTCTTCTTATTTCATCACTAATTCCACACTGTTCTATTTTTAAAATTGGACCACTGGAACATTTATTTTGTATACTCGTTTCATCATGTGTCAAGTTCTATCGATTCGAGAAATCGCTTGAAAAAAATAACAAATATGGCCTAAATGCGATTTATTTATCACATATGTATTGTGCTATTATGCAATATTTTATTGTTCTTTATGGTATATATCCAGTTAATTTATTGACATACTTGAGGTATGAATTTGGTACTACAAAGCAGTTCATGATTTGCGATGTTTAATTAATTTGTTAATTAATTGATTAATTAATGTTTAATTAATTGATCAATTAATTTAGGAGCGTAAATATTTCAGTTGAAATAAAAAAAGCACTTTTTATTTTTTTATTAAAATGATTTTTATATTTCCTCGGTATACTCATTTATTCTTTTCTGTTTTTGGTTCGGCTAATTCATTTCATAGTAGATTTTAATTATAAAAGTAATGTATAATTTACGATTTTCTATTAGATTTGATTATTCCTTGAATTGTGCTGTTATTTATATATTTAGAGATCATCGTGGTAAATATGTGGAGAACAAAATATTCGATGTGCTAAATGATGTTATCGCTGCTGTTAAACTACATCCTCATTTGATAAAATCAACTGCAGAACAGGTAATCAACCTTATATATTAGAAATATTAATGTATTTATAAAAAGATTTTTTGAATAATATTCAGGAAACTGTTCTATTTACATGGGTGTGAAATAGTGAGTAAAATGATAAATTTATGAATATTTTTTCTTAATTAAATTTATGAATATTTTTTCTTAATTAGTTTTTTTTCACATTTCGATTTTGCTCACATCTATTTCTGTTCATTTTTTATTATGTCTAAATCTTTTTTACTTTTAAAATTAGTTGAAATTTTTTTTATTTTCTAATAGAATTGAATTTTTTATAAAATTCTATTTTAATTCTAAAGATTTGATTTACTATATTTGATTTTTAAGGAATTAGATCGCAGTCGTTGGCTTCAGCGTGAATCGCATGATTTTTTAGCTGATTGCCGTCACATTCTTATTCGACCTGTTATTAACACAACTGCACAGTTTAAAGAAGGTCAAATAGTATTGTTTTTTATTCAATTCAGTTCATATTCATTTCAATTGTTAAGTTTTTCTGATGCTTTTAAAAAATGACTAAAAAAGGTTATTTTTTAAATTATAATATATTCCAGAATTTGAAAATTTCCAGATGAAAACGTTCGCATTTCGTCCATTCGCTCATCTTCAGTTCAGAATCGTCAATCATTAAAATTTGATCAGAATTCTAGCAATTCGTTATCATCTAATTCATTAACGTGGTTTGAGCAGTCATTTCGTTAGCATCATTATTTTCATTTTCTTTTTTAAATTTTTTTAGATTAATATTTATTACGCATATTTATTTATTAAAATATTTTTTAGTCATATTTAATATCTAAATTATATTTTAGAATCGAATAGCAATCTGTGGGACGATGAACCGTGGAGCCCTAGTATCAGCTTAGGTCTAGATACTCCTCCAAATGAACGAACTGGAAATTCCCTCGCATATCCACAACAGAATATTTCAGGAAATGCCATAGGTTCTGGATGTTTATAATTTTCCATTTGTAATGAAACAAAATCAATTTTTTTCCATTAATACATAAAATAGTGATTTTTTTAGTGCCAAGCGATGCATCTTCGAGAAGATCCACCTCAGGTTCCATCGACTATCGCAAACTTCGTCATTCTTCTTTTGGACAAAAATTAAGTGAAATTTTTCGTCGAGTAGGATTTTTTCAAATATTCATAGGTTTTGAAGACGGTTTCAATCTCCTTTTTTTTACTGTTTTTTTATTAATTATTGTAATTTTTTTGCATTAAATATTCTATTAATTCCACTAGTTCTATTGGCGATTAGAATAAGGCATTTCCAAATTTTTGATTTCAGAAAGTAATTGAAACCACTTTTTGCCGCAATCCGTATTGTTGTTCTTCCTATGCATCAAAAATTATAAATAAGATGCAGTCAGTTGCGTGAACTTTCGTTTTTAAACTGATTTTACGGCCATTCTACTGGTATTTCCTTAGGGTCTTTTATTACTGTTGACGAAACAGCAACATTAATAAGCTTATTCAGAATCCATATCCGGATTGATCTGTGATTTCTTAAGTGCCGAAAATTGGTCTCTATAAATCTCTAAATCTGTCGAACAGATTTGAAGAATCGCAAACCTTGACGCAATTCGAATTTCAAAAAATTGTGCCAACCCCTCCATATATTCACGTCGATAAATTCTTTAATAAATTTAAATATTACAAACATAAATTCAAATATTAAATATTACTGTAAATTATAAAAAATTTTGTTTCTTGAAATCTTGAAACCTTGAAAGTTTCTTTTTCCCAATTTCTGCTGGATTTTTTTGCTTAATTGTGGAAATTTCTTAATTTATGCGAATTTCCTGAAAAATTTTTAGTTTTCGATGTCGAATTTGTTATACTTTAATTTAAATTATAGAAATTTGGTGAGCATGGTGATTCAAAAAGTAGTGAAACTGTATCTTTAGTTGTTTCTGATAAAATACCTGTGATAACAGATGAATTTGGAGATGCTGATTCTATTGAAGTCGTTGCTACATCAGAGGAAGCATGGCGTCGTAGTCAAGTATATATTTCATCAAGTTTTCTCTTCGGTTTACTTCGATTTATTTGATAGAATTTAATGCTTAAAATTAATAGTTAGTTAGATTTCGACATTTGCTTTCAGGAAGGACAAATTGAAGAAGGTGTTGATGCTCGCGATATTTGCATAGTTCCATCTGCACAGAGTGAAAAACAGTCATGTACTTCTATTGCACCTTCAAATGAAACAGATTCTTGTGGAGCTCATGACTCTATACAAATAATTTCATCTCATCCTACACTGGTTCATAAATCAGGTGGATCCCATTTACTAAATAAGGTCAGTGGAGCCCCTTTAGGATCAGACGACAGTGTCGGGAACAAAATGGCTGTAAGTTCAAATCGCTTCAGACAATTTTTTTATATTAAATCTTTATTTTCATAATGATTAAATTTATTCAATGCTCAAATGAAATAAAATGGTTAAATAAATTTAAATATTCCTAAATTTAAATATTCTTAGGATTACGAATTAGACCCAAATAATACCGAAAGTCATTTCTCAGTAGCATCCTTTTCTCGAGCTATTAATCGACAACAGTTTTTCAATGATTTTTCATTTTTGGGTGAACAGGAACAACTCAATCTCTTGGGAAAGCAAAGTTGTTTCAAACCAAATCTGTTAGCTTTATACAAAACATTACTTACATTTTTTGGTAGATTGAATAGATTGAAAAAGATTATGCCATATTCCGCATTTTAAATAATTTTTTATTTATTTTAATCTTCTGAATATTTTTTTTTAGCGTGCGCTGTTCATCATGTCCGTGTGTCGCCGATGGTACTTTAGTTAAACCAGTTGTTCCTCGGGATTTCGAAGTTAAACGGCAATTATCTCTAACTGCGATGAAAATCAGCGAGGTTATTAATAGAAAATTTCCATATCTGGCATTCCTTCATGGACTATCTTTTATGAAAATAGGTATTTTTATTGATTTTAGATTTTTATCTTGGATGATGCTTTCTTTTTTTTTATTTCTTTATTATTTATTTTGCAGATGAAAAATTGATGGATTCGCAGTTAAAGAAAGAACATGAGAGATGTAGGCGCGATTACATGGAAGCAAGCCATATTCATCACACTTGTCTCAAACAATTAGGTCTAGCTGATCGATTACCTAATATAATAATTGATGAAGTGAATCCAGGATTATCTTTAGAAAAACAAGTATGTTTTATATTATTTATACATGAATTTATGATTTGCAAATACGAAATTTCTGTTGCTCTAATTTTGTAGTATCGTACAACTTTATTTTTTGATAATTTTATGGAATATGTGACCAGTATTATTTTTAAGAGAGACTTGCTTAGTAATCGGCTTCTTCTGATCCGCCATCATTTAATGTATGAACGTTGTGGAAGATTATTACATGCAGAACGAAATCGTCGTTTATTTGGTTTTTTAAATTTTTTTTTTATTCCTATAATAATTTTGCTTCATTCCACAAGAATTTAACAGAATTTTCTTTCAAAATTTACCATTGCAAATTTGATTTCTATAATTTCTATAATTTTCAGATTTAACAGTATATTTTTAATAAATCTATTATCATTTTAGGTCGAATAAAACAACAAAAATTATCAGATGCTGAGAAAATCTCTCTTCAAAAAGCATTGCATAATGCACGAATTGTGAGTGGAATTTTTATTTATTTCTTTTATTATACTAATTGTAATAAGAAAATTATGCACTCTCCATACTTGTGCACTTCAACTCCAAATTAAATTTCGCGAGGATAAGGTCCCCGATTTTCGACCCCGATTTATGAATATACAAGTGTATATTCATCTAACTTTATGCAGTTTCGCATAAAGTTGAACAATAATTAAATAATTTAAAAATTATTTCAATGATGAACTAGTTAGTAATGGTAAAATAATAGATAAAAATTAAATGCAGGAACGAAAAAGTTTAATAACTGCTTTAACGGAAACACGTAAAGCTTGTAAAGAAGAAAAACGAAAGCGCGAAGAAAGTGAAAATATCTGTCGAGATGAAATCAAGAAAGCTCGTCAGGTAGCTTTTCTTGATCTTTTTATCTTTTTTTAATAGTCCTTACCATTATTAATTAAACTCTTTCCGCTGGCTTGTCATTGGACAAATAATGCCAGGGAGTCCCTGGGCGACAGAAGTAGAGGTGAGTAACTAGCATCACTCGTGAGATTTTTTTATCTACCTTATTTTTGTTATGAAATGTTGAAAAAAATGATATATAGTCAGCACAGTTTATATTATTTCCAAAATTTTTCGTAATATGATTTGATAGAAAATTTGCTGAATAAAATTTTTATACAGGAATCAGAAGAATATGTCAATGAATTAACTTCGCTGAGATTTAAAGTTGAACAGTTGAATTCCGACTATCAGCAAATGAAAGTTGATTTTGATAAATGTCGAAGAAGGTATTATTGATGTCATTTTTTTGATTTTTTCTTTTTCCTTAAACCTTTAAATAATTTAAAAATCTTGTTTACGCTTGCAGCATTTATCATTTTTAAGATGCGAAAATGCTGAGGCACAACTGTCATTGTCGAAATCTAGAATGGCTAATCTTGAATCTCTAAGGCCCGAATTAGAAAAAGCTCATCGAACAAATCAAATTTTGCTTTATAGAATCAATCAGGTAAAAATAACTGACTGTATTCATTTTTCTGCTTTATTTTTATGTATTCTCAGTTTTTTTGCAAACTATATTCGATTATAGAATAAATGACATCCTAATATTATAGCACGAAACAAGCAAGAAAACGTCAAATTGCCAAAATGCCAATGATTTGTCTGCTATGGAGCGTGAACAGCTTCTATTATTTCAGGTTAATTAATTTGTTGATAGATTAAAAGAAAATTTCTTTGGGTTAATTTCTTTTTTTATTTCATTCTTTAATGTTCGTAGGTAACAAAACTGAGAGGAGATTTGGATAAAGAAAGAAATGTGAAAGATTCTCTCAGAGGAAGACTGGCAGAAATTGACGAAGAATGGAAACGTGAAAAGCAAAAAAACCATGATTTAAAATTAACTATCGAAAGGATTGCTATGGTTTGCTTAAATTTGCTTTTATGAGTTGAAAGTGGCAAATTAATTGAGAATTATTAATTATTATTAATTGCTAATTGCTTTATCTTTATTTTAAAATTTATTTATAAACATATTTTTTTTGATTTTTTTTCTTATATTTTATGTTTTTCTTGTGTGCTTTATTTTAGCTCCATGAACAACAGTCTGAAGCTGCTCAACATAAATTTCGTTCCTTGCTTTCAATTTGTCAAAAGCAACAATCACATATTCTTGATTTAAACTCTCATATCGAAGTTTTTTTTCACTATATACATTCATTATTCATGAATAATTAAAATAATACGCTGATAATGATAGCGCGAGTATATCTAAACCGCGAAGTAAAAGACCATATAGTCATGCATTCTTCGTTAGCCCTAGCCCTAAGTTTTGACTTATTTTCTTATCTAAGTGATAATATTTCTTATCTAATTTTACTTTTCTAGGTTATATCTCAATTGTCTTTAGAAGTCTATAGAAATTTATTTGTTATATGTTTCAATATTGTAGAAAATTTCGAATGATGGATCTGAATCTACTGTCGCCAAAGTGTTTCCTCTCGATATTTCACAGAATACAGTTCCTGAAGAATTATGGTCATGCAACAGTTCATTGTAAGTATTATATTTATTATTTTATTATTATATTACTTATAATGAAAATAACCAATTCCATTCATTCGAATATCAGTTGAAAATTTCAATTGTCCTTAATATATAAATTTTCGCTCGATTTAATTCGAATTTTTGAAATAAATTTTTATTTCTTTTTTTCCTCCCGATTTTTTCGTTTCAATAAATTTTTTATTCATTTGTGAAGTTAATTTCAAAACTAATTTATAAATGAATAAAAATTCATTGAAAGAAAATTTCAGCTCGGGGCATGAACTGGAAACAGCAAAGAAAATCTTTCAAGTGGATTTATATTTCTCCTCGCAAAGCGATACTTCAACTCCTGTTAACTTACCTGGTTTTAATATTCATTTCAAAGATCGATCATTTCGAGATTCGTACTGGAAAGACGATATAAGAACTCATGGTACATTCTAGTTCTTTCTGATACACATGTGCCCTATGCCTTCAATCAGTTATTTTTGATGTTGGCGTTCATTACAGTTAGGAAATTTTAAATTCTAAAAAATTTATTTTCTTGCAGAAAATTATAAAAATAACAGGTCATTTATGGTTATTTAGGTTAAGTTTACAGTATTTTATTTATATGATTTATAGCATATTTATATAATTTTATTATCAATTTGGAGCATTTATTCTCATTTCACTAATTTTGTGATCGAATTTTTATATTAATTTTTCTTCATTTATTTTTTTAGATTTATCGAATTTTTGTCTTCAAATTATTTAATTAAGACACTTTATATTATTTTCGTTATGAAGAGAACAATTGGTATCACAATTGTAATAAGGCTATCTCTCAATTAATGCGCTTTAAATTTTTTTTTATACTGAATGATTTATGATCTGATTTTGTTTCCTGATGTTGCTTAGCCGAAAATCATCAGAGTTGAAGTTTTATATCGAAACCATCATAAGCCACTGTCATCTTTATATTATTTTTAAATGCAGTTTATAATTAATAGCTTAAATTTTCAAATTTTTTTTGACAAATTGTTGATTTCTCTTCATAAATCACTTATTGACTGTTTTTGATAAGTTTTTTTTTTGTTTTACTATTTTCATTAATTTAATTTAATTGTTTAATTTTATATATATATACATAAATTTTTTTGAAATAATCAGTTTAATGCATTTTTAAAATGCATTTACAGAATTTAAAAAAGCCTTTCGCTTTTTGAATGAAAATTTATTTTAAAAAATTTTTGATAATATTTGGTTTTTATAAAAATTATGGAAAATTAGCGTGTTTATTCTATGAAAAATTAAGGATTTAAAGAATTTAAACTATCTGATTAATATATAGTGCACATGAATTATTCATTTTTTTCTTTATGTAGTTGATAAATTATTTTTTTATATTTTTTGATGTGCATTTATGAAGAATGTATAGGAAATCGAAAATTGAAAAATAACTGCTCAAGAAAAATTGTATTTCACCATTGGTTTTACTTGTTAAGCGAATGAGACTTTCACCATGAAGTTACTCTGGAATAGAATGGGCATCGCACCTTTCGGGTTCTTTTATAGCATTACTACTGGTGCTAGTGAGGATCAGTGGGCAAAAATGGTGAAACTTCGATGATACTTCGATTATTATTCGTCCAAATTTTTTATTTTTTTCACTTATTTTAGAAAACTAAACTATTAAATTAAGAACAGTTTTTTTTCTTCATAGAGAGAGGTGGTTGTTTCGATTCTCTCACCGAGCATCATTGGTTGGATCCAATAAACCTAATCCAATAAACCTATTATTAAAAAATTTTAGTTGCTGACGATTCATTTGTAGTTCTATCGCTTAGACCACTTGCGAAAATTTCTAACCGTACTGGCAGCGGTAAAATTTGCTAACCTCGTATTTGATTGATCAGTTCGATGAATAATAAACGAAGCCAATTAACCAAAATCATATTTATCATTACAAATTTACAAATTTTACAAATTGTAAATTTGTAATGATAAATATGATTATTACAAATTTTGTAAAATTTAAAATTTAATAATTCATCGAACGAAGATGGAAAATTTAATTCATTTGTACATAGAAACGTTTCTAAAATTTTGAATATTCAATGAAATCTATAAATTTTTTCGAAAAATGTTCAAATATTATTAATATTTAATTTAAATAATATTTAATTATTAAATATGCAAATTTTTGTCATATAAATTTATAGAACGAAGAAAAAATAGCCGAATGTTTGTGGATTTGTTACCGAAATTATCGTATAGGGCATCAGAATTGAATCATTCCCTCGAAATGGCTAAAGGCAGAGAATAATCATTTGAAAATCCTGGTAGTCATTTCGATTTGTCTATACTTTTTTTGCCAAGTGATTCCATGATAAAAATCTTTTATCTTACTGATAGCTAGTGATAGAGGTGAGTTTAACTAGAAATGGTGAGCACTATTAGAAGAACATGCAGATTATTTCACAATTCTTGATATTGCATGGTAAATATTATAGTGTTATGTTGTATTAAGGAGTTAAGCAAGTATCGTTGACACGAATTAATTTTATTCATTAAATAATTTTATTTAACAGTTGCGAAAATGACAATGATAAAATGATAATGGTAGTGCTATAAACGTAATCACCTTTCGTTCTATTTCTATGCGACTCACTGATAAAATTCGCTCATTTCTAATAGTTATTTAGAACCATTAAAAATGATGTTTATTAAAATAGAACTGTGAAAATTTTTCATAAATAATAACAAATAATTTTAAAAAAATTTACTTTATTATATTTTATTATATTCAATCAAACGCAGACAATATTGAATGAGACAAAAAATTTGCATAAATTTTGTTGTGTCTGATTTCGTGGTCGAATATTTTCGTTATTGCAAAGTGTCGCTGAGTGTCGCCATTTTTTGTCTTATTTCTTACCGTTTGCAGAACCGATAGCGAATTGTTTTCTGACTTATGAAACGAAGTGATTTTCTTTGGTATTTTTATAGATTAGGCATTGTGCCACAGCTACTGGCAAATACCTTTAAGTGACGGTGAATTTTAATAAAAACAGTGCAACAGTGCAAACAGTGCAACAGTGCAGTGTAGTCTGTGAAGTATGAAATTTCAAAGATATGAAAGTGCATAATTCCATTTTATAAAAGAATTCCTGAAAAATAGCCCGAGGCTATTTCCAGAAGGAGTTGTGCAAATTTAGCGCAAGAGCTTAAGTTTCACTTCACTTCACGCGTGAAATCGCTGCGTGCAATGATAGGGGAGAAGTCGAGCTTCAGGTGAGGACATCTGAACTTCTGCTAATACGATAGATGATTCTTTTCTTGGATGGATATTCGATATGGATATTGCGATGAAAAATTAGATCAGTCCGGAATAATATGCATTTGCTAATGAAGAATTCCCCGATTTATTCCAAAATCGAACTTTCGACCAGGGAAGATAATGTTTACGGTTTTTTTACCTGTCCATTTTGACTTTCTGAAACCTAATACAGACATTCAAACAGATGAATCCGTATATTAAAGAATCAGAAATAGTCCATTTAAGACTTGGCTAGTTGGCAGAAAAGGTCCCATTATTCATTACCATGATAAAGCTCGACCACACGTCGCAATAACCACTTTACAAAAATTACAGTGCTAAATATCGATGTCCTACACCATTCACCATATTCCTCCACGCTTTTCGCTAATAGGTTTCATTTCTTCTGTCGCTTCCTCAGCGAGAGATATTTTCGAAAATAGGAGAAATAGGAGAATCATGAAAATTTGTCTTCCATTTACTAGTTCCGAAAGCTCTCGCACTTCTACGCAAAACGGAGTACATTTTCGTCACATTGACAAAAGGTGTGCTGATTGTAATAATATTTATTTTGAAAAATATTGATAAAAATATTGATTCTCAATAAAATTATTAAATAAACGACACAAAATCTATAGAAATTTTTGACCATGTTTAATGATAAGATGAAGCTGGAGATAGAAATTTTTGACCGTTTCGATAGACAAATTCTTTATCATCCCACTTATTAGCACTTATCATTTCTCGCTTGGCTTACTCTATTAGCCAATAAATATGTTCAGACTATTAGAAATATTGATTGCTTGGCTCGGAAATTTGGAGACAAAAAATTGCGTGGTTTACCAGCACCATCTGAGTTGAATAAATGAAATAAAAAATTTGTTTTTTTTTACGATTTTACCATTTACTTCAACTGTGCAAGTGATTGGTTTGTCACATTCATTAAGTGCAAATGACTGAATTCTTTTAAGAAAATTTCATTTCCCATAGATTGAACAGAAATATTACTGCATAATTCAGTAAAACAACATTAAATTATTGGCTAAAAAATGCATTAGTGAGCCAATAGTGTGGGTAGTAGAATGACTGGCTTCTATTAGTTTTAGACATGCCATGAGGCAATAGATAATAGGTCCTAGCTAGCGAAGCCCGTCTAACGAAACTAGTAATGCTGTTAGAGTAATGCTGTTGCTTTTTTTTTCTAAGGATAGCAAAGGATAGCTGGGCTCGTTCGCCGATTCAGCTTATCGGACTCGATAAATTTGGCTAGGGGCGACATAGCGGAGCGGAGAATTTAGAGTTGGTGCACTTAGATTTTTGCGGGATAAATTTATTTATTCTTCCTGGGCGTTAAACCTCACTACAGAACTAAGTAAAAACTCGCTTTGGTCATTCTTTCATTAAAAATTTTTGCGAAAATTTGAACGAATTTATAAATGTTTTTAAATCTGAAATATTTTGCAAAAATTTTGTAACTATTATTTTTACATAAATTCTCAATGATTTTTAAACATTTTATATTGCAATATATTTCCGGTTTTTAATTTTCTCGTTGTTCCCAAATTCTACGTATTTGAATAATTTTTTAACGACACTCCAGTTTTTATTTGTTTTCCATTGGGTTTTTTTCATAAATGAAAAAATTTTGTTTTTTAGATTTTTTTAGATATTTATAAAACAATTTGTAATAAACAATCACTGAAGAGGAAAAGTTGCACCAAAAGGCGTTAAAATTTGCTGTGTAAATTTAAATTTTCTAAAGAGTTCCGCAACATTACTGGTTAGACTTGGCTCCGTTGATTTATTGCACTGAACCAATATACGAGGGAATCCTTTGGCGATGTGCGAAATACAGAGTAAGGATAAGATAGCCGAATGTTATTATCTATCACTGAGTATCTACCATTATTTACCATTTATTTACCGCATATTTCATTAAGTAACTTTATGGATTTTGAATGATTGGATGGATTATAAATGAAATGAATTTCATATCATTTATTTTCAAAATGGAATTTATAAATTATGGTGAAATATTTCTACGTACAAATTCATATATAAATTATTGATAAATATAGAATTATAATTAATTATAAGTATAAATATAGGTTTTTTTGTAGCTTTGACCATTTTAAGATAAAATGTTACCAGCACAATTAGGATGAAATTTTACTTGTCAAGGAATATCGTTTGTTATTTACGATAGTATTATCAACCAATTGCTCTAAAAAAAGATATGATATGATAAGATAAAAAATATATATTATATAAGATATACTCAAATATGATTGATGGCTCAAGCAGTGATGATTTCTAGCTTGCCAAATCCTTCTTCCAAAAAAAATGCAATTGCAAATAGTAAATTATCGTTGTATTAAGAATTCAAATTTGCAAATATTAAATGGAATTAATCGAATGGAATTAACCTATACGTTTTTACTGTGGCCTTGGTAGGTCAGTGGGTCCAACATTAGTGCCGCTTATATGATTCTTTTACTGGTAGCAAGCATTTATTTATTGCAATTCTCTTCATTTCTGGCTTAGACTGTTGCTACAAAAAGACACTTTTATCAGACAAATGTTCAAAATGATAGCCAAAAATACACTTCGAATAAGAAATTCATTGTGTAAACGAAATCAATTATCATTAATCATAAAGTTTTTTTTTACAAAAATGGTTGTAAAAATTGTAAAAATTGCAATTGCAAAAAAAAAGAATTTTCATGAAAATAAATAGTTGCAATTTCATGGTTGTGAAGTTAAACATATAGGAAAACGAAGAAAAAATTTAATATTCATTAACTTTTATAATTTGGACAAAATGAAAATAACGATTTTATGTATTTTTCCTAATAGTATGAAGGCGGGTTCGCAACACCATTATTATCATCAATAAAATTTTCCATCACCGGAAAAAGTATTTCTTGTTCTTCGTTCAATAAAAATTGTTGGTTGTTTGCGATTGAAAACGTTTCTTTCGTATGGCATCAATGGCGATAGCATTGATAACAATGCAGCAGTTGATCATGATTTTATTTATCTTCTTATCAATTTTCACTTTCATTTATGTCGCACCAAATCCAATTCAAATATATAAAAAAAACAATGGTTATTTATTTATTATCATCTTTTTATTTATTAATATTTTTTTAGCTAAAATTTGAATAAAAAAATTTATGAGAAATAATCATTTGAATTACCAATAGTATTTTAGCGATCGACAATCTATTGCTAATAATTTTTGAATATTTTAAATGTTTCTGATAAATAAGCAGTTAGCGCTTATAATTGCTGATCAGCCAGATTTTTTCAATTTATTAATAAAGATTTTTTCTAAGAAATCACGTATATCGCCGATAGGCACCAGCAACGTCACTAGCGAAAAGTTTAAATGACAGGTTTATTCCTGTCGGTGACAGAAACGGATCACTTGAATCGTAACACGATTATTACGCATTGAATTATCTGAATTATCTGTTCCACTACCCCCTCTCTCCTCTTCTCTCCCTCTCTCCTCTTCCCCCCCCCCCCCTCCCCCCCCCCCCCCCCCTCCCCCCCCCCCCCCCAAATTATTATATTATGTATAATTGTACATATTTAGTTAGCCGTTAGTTCATTATATATATATATATAATTTACAAAACAAAAATTTTTGGTAAACAATTTTTTAGATCATATCGTTTTTTTCGATTTTTATTCATTTTAAGTCATAAAATATGTTTTGTTAATATTTTTTTTGTTTATTTTTGGCAAAAAGTTTAGTACCTTGCGTTGAATCAGAACATGAGCCACAGGCAATATATTCCTTGTTCTTCCAAAAGCATCATTTTTGCTTAAGCTCACTGATTACATGGTTGAAGATAGTATTTTAGACCACCACCCTGTTTTCACTTTTGATAATAGCTTTATTTTCATTCAAAAACGAGAATTAGGCCTAGCTGATTCGATTTTAATTGAAATAGTCAATCTTCCATCGAAAAAAATATTGGACGCCTTTTATTTGAATTTCACTCTGATAAAATGACTGATAACTAAAATAACTGACCGTATGAAGTTTAAGTTTATTCTAAACAATTTCAATATCTGATTGTTTGCCGTTATGGTGGCGTTATTTTCAAAAGAAAAATTTTGAACTTTTAAAAATATACAAAATTCACTAACCACAAAATTGATGATTATTGGATACTTATAAAACGATCTCTTACAATTTCAATACTGCTAATGTACTGCTAATATAAGCGGAAAAAAATTAAAGATTGTTTTTATAATAAATATTATTTTTTTGAAATTTTTTCTGACCAATACCTATCATATTAGGAAAAATATAAAAGATATAGAAGTTATTTTCCATTTTTATTTTTTAAATATACTATTTTTAAATATTCCTAAATTTTTCTATGATTTACTTAAGATATTCCAATAATAATAAATAATCAAAAGCGAGTTGGTCCAGTGGATTGGTAAAAAATTCTGAATTCTGAATAGGCACGCCAGCGATATATGGACTAAAACGATGGAAAAATTAATCCCTTCTAATATTGCTGGCGATATTGCCGCCGAACAACTTGAAGATATCTTGTAGTTAGCGAAGCGCAGCCTAACGAACAATGGTGAGAGCTGTTAGAAAAAGAAAGAATGCTAAATAATTTTAGGCTACTTGATTTTGACATATACTGATAATTTTTTTTTACCAATACGAATTATTTTTATTTAGCTTCGGCTTCGACATCGAATATTAATTAATAATTATAGGATGTGAAATTTTTGCTTATTAGGAATTTGATGATAAAAGACCAAAACAATAACAATAACAGCGGACGGGTTTAATCTAATCGAAGAAAGAAATTTCTCAAAAATGATAACTTTAGTGATAAGAACGACTGTTTTTCGATTATTCATCATAATATAGTTTATAAAATTGTTCAAATTGTTTTAAAAAAATTTCTTTTTTTCATTTCTGGAAATGAATATTATTAAGTGTTAAACTAATTACTTTTGACTTTACAGTATTACAAAATTAAAAATTAACGCAAATTTTTTTTCATTTAACAGTCAATTCGGCGCCAACTGTCCGTTTTATTTTGATTAAAACGCTTGATAGGCGGAAATTAATTTTTCCTTTTCAAGTTGATTTATCTATAATCGACCGGTCTTAAAAGAGAAAATTTTAATTTTTACGAAAATTTTCCCCTAAACAACATTTTTATTTAAATATTCATATAAGTAATAAATAGAACTTCGTCCATTATCAACATTAAATTAATCGTTGAAATTTCCACAATGTTTCATAATAAATTTATTATTATAAATGAAAGTTAAATAGAAAAAACGGAAATCATCACTGATTAATTTGTGATTAATTTTGCAAAAACCAGTCGAATTTTAAACCGAATATTAGTTTAATTAGTTATAAAAAAAAATTTTTTCCCACAATTAAAATTCTTTAATTAAAATTAAAATGAAAAAAAATGATAATTAAGAAAAAATATTTGAGAAAAAAAATTGAACGAATCGAATAATAAATTTATTTATTATTATTATTGGAATTAACAGCGATTAACTAAAAGTTTTCTTATTAAATTTGCCAAGAATAAAATATAAAAATTTTATTTTTATATTTAAAATATATTATTTTTATATTTAAAATATATTTAAATATATTTAAAATATATTATGATGGAGATTCAACTTGAAATCATCGTAATTTGTATTATTGACAATGTACAAAAAATGCTGCGATGAAACGATTTTCCCATTTTCGAGAAAACTTAATAATTGCGGATGCCTTATCGCCAAAAATTGTGAATGCTGCAAAAAGGCCTCCTAAGGCCATTACTTTATATCCAACACTGGTTTAAATTCTGAATAAAAAATTAATTAAATTTTGTTAATTTAATTTTGCAAAAACCAGTCGAATTTTAAACCGAATATTAGTTTAATTAGTTATTAAACTAATATTCAAATATTCCAAACGAAGCAAATTAAGGAACGATCTCTATTTTTATATTCAAGTGACTATCTGACGAAAATCTTTCTAGTCCTATCACTGTACATTGCAATTAGCTAAACCAGAGCGGTAGCCACCAAACCAGACCGTATTAAAGAATGGTACCCAAATAAATCATTTATAAATTCTTCTATAAATTGTTTCTTTATTGGACTATGAAGATTTCCCATTTGAATATGGCTCAACCAAGAATTTGATTCTATATTTTAATATATATATATAAATTGTGTTATGTTATATTATAACATGGAAATAGTGCAATGGAACCTATTTTTCAATATTTCCTACTAAAATTTACTTTGATCATAGGCAAAAGGTTTTTTTGCTAATTTATCGCACATTTCGCCACTTATAGTCTGGTTTATTGTCATTTAGAGTAAGAAGGCCTTTCGCCAAAGGGACATACTGGATAGAGATAGGTTTCTCCATTCATGCGGACCGCATGAACTAATTCGATTACAAATAGTTCAGAATAATCTCCAAATAAAATAATTTTTGAATAATTGTACGCAAATTTTTTATGAGAATCTTTAGTAATTAAGAGGTTTTTTTAAATGAACTTTTATAATTTTTGGTTAGGTTCGGAACCAGAAAAATTTTGCCAACGATAAAAGTATAGGTGAATTGCCAGCACCATCCGATATAAATAAAGATAATATATAAATAATACTAGTGAAAGATAAAATCACATAGGTAACACATAGGTAAAATATTTGATAAATGGTTGATGAATTTTCCAGTGCAAAAATTTATAAATAAAAAATGTTTTTATTAGGTGCAGAAACTAGTATTTGTCTATGAAAACAAAGAATTTTATGAAACTATTTAAGAAATTTATGAATTTAGACAAAAAAGGGTTTCAGGAAAGCTATGTGGTACTCCCGATACATTCGACACCATTCAAAGATCAAAGCGTTCACCCATAATAGGTAAAATGAAAAGGAATTTTTTTGAAAAAATTCCGCTTCTACAATTTTTCATTTTCATTTGCTCATACTAAGATACTAAGATTAAATTATTGTAAAAAAGTAAATAATTAGCGCTCAGGATCATTTGATGATTTGACGGAGAATTTCGAAACTTTTTTTCACTATTATTAGAATGTCCTGGAATATATTTCTGTAATAATTTCTAAATTTTAGACTTAGGCCGACTTTCTGGAAAGTCGATTCGCTATCGAATTGCTCAATATCCACTTATAAATTGTGAAAAGATAATAAATAAACAATTATCAAGAGAATATATTAACAATGCTCTTCGAAATGCTATTAAGGTATGAATTTCATTTTAGTTTTTAAAAAAAAATCCATAAAATTGATTGATAAAAAAAAATTTATCAGTTATGGGGTAAAGCAATCGATGTGAATTTTATCTATTGGCCATATTCGCAGTCTGATATTGAAGTTTCATTTGCAAGTTTTGATCATGGCGATCAATATCCATTTGATGGTATTGGTGGTGAAGTTGCACATGCTTTTTATCCTATTCATGAAAAGCGTCGTGGACAAATTCATATCGATGAGCACGAACCATGGTATGTCTTTTGGTTATTTAAAAAGTAATTTAAATTGCAATAATTTGATCAACCATTAATGGAAAATTAATATATTCTCATAATTTTTTTATCTTTTAAATCGGAATTGTATTGTAGGGGACCTAATGGAAGGAATTTAAATTGGGTATTGGCGCATGAAGTTGGTCATACTCTTGGCCTACCGCATACATTAAGAGATTCAATTATGATGCCACAGTATCAAGGTTATGAAAATAATGAGCCAAGTCTTTCGCCATATGACATCGAATCGATACAAGCTCTTTACGGTGAAAATGATTTAAAATTTTCAGTAAATTTCCAATTTCAATAAATAATTTCATGAATTTCCATCCAATTCATTCACCCTATTCCTTTGAAGACTACGAAGTATAGGCTCAGTTGTATGGCTATAAATAAATGATATTATTTATAATGGAGGAAGTTTTAAGGTAAAAAAGAAAACTGGGATGAACTCGCATTCAAGGAAGATCAACAAACGGAAGCAACTATACCATCCCTTTGCGACGATCAACCAATTGATGCGCTATTCGCACTTCCAAATGGAACCTTATTCGTATTCAAAGGCATGTGAATAAAGCATAATTTTTTTTTCTATTTTCTACTCGCGAATTTCTAAATTTAAGTGACACGAAGAAGTAAAATGCATAGATGAAAGAGCGATGGCCTAAAGTGCTTAGGATGATCTAGCAGATATGGAAAATTAAGCCATGATAGATTCGATTTCTGTTCATCACCAAGAGTAAATTTATTAATTAAAAGTCTTATTGGTACTGGGTCCTATCCTATTTTTGTCCCCAATTGCCTCTCTAGCGAAGATGTTCATCGCAAACAGTAGTACCAATCAAATTTGAGAAGATAAGCATTTTCTAGAAGCAGAAGACACGGAGAATTCTTGCAATATACTATATAGGCTATATAAAATATTATTTTGGAAGTTGACATTTCTAAAATATCGATTAAATCAAGGTTAACATCAGCCATCAACAATATTATGGAATTATAAATGTCGGTATTATAAATGATAGCTGAATGGTTGGTACCTTTGCTTTTCCAGTTAGATTGATATTTAAGAGGAGACGAGGAACTTCCATCCATTGTTCAAATTTCGGCTCTTCTGTTGAAAATGAAAATATTCAAAAGGAACACCATGTTAAAATATGGTAACAATGAATGTGCACCCAGCTCAAAATTTTGCCGCTTTTTTGGCCGCCTTGGTCCGCTAATGAAGCTTATGGACAACTTTTATGCTCAATTGGTAATGAATCACAGATAATGTTGCTAACCCATATTGATAATTATAATCAAAGCTATGAATTTCCTATTGTCCTTCACCTATCTAAAGAATCAATGGATCTGAAGATTAGAGCCTTAAAGAAATTTTAATTGCAATTATGATCATTTTATCGTTTTCTGGAATAGAATTTCGTCTTTCGCTTGGTATCAGAGAGAATTCGAGATATTTAACGTTCCTCAAACGTGATAAAATGATGAAAATAGGTGTTTATCAATTTCTAGTGTATTACACGAAAAGATCTTTCTTTTATTTAGATTGTTTATGAAACCTATTTTCGCCAATTATCGGCAAATTGTTGAGCGTTATTTGTATTTTGTCATAAACAGCAAAAAGGATCATCATTGCATTCAAGATCTGTGATACTATGCTTTGGACTAACTTGTGCTCCTCTTAAATGCCAATAAGCTGTCCGCTATCCAATCTAGTTGAATATTGTAGAGGAAAGAACGCAGTCTTGATGGACACCAGTTCTTATTTTGAAAGGATCTGTCAATTCCCCATATACTCAGAATTGAATAATGCACTGGTGAAATGCCTTTATGAATCGAATAATCTTCTCTAGAACACCGTCACATTATCCAAAGCGCCACTTTATCAGCTGAATCAGCCGAATGGATAGCCGATATTTGAAGCGATTACCAGTTTTAGCGCGTTGATAAGAACGACTATCTATTAAGGAAACTGATTAAGGTATAATAGATCTGGTTGAAGTTTGGTTGTCCGAGGAATTCCATGTGGCTTGATTTTTTCTTGCCGAAAGTATGTATTAACAAAAAGTTCATGAAAAAGCGAAAAAGAAGTTCTCCATTAGCGCACTTGTCTCTGATGCCATATTTGCCAATCGCCGAGTTTATCCTGGCGGCATCGTAGCCTATTCCAGTCCCTCCTCCCCTCTCCCCCATTATGACCATGCCATTTTTCGATAAAGATTCAGTAGAGTAGATGATAGAATGAATCATTTCTCTTTTCATGTTTTTTCTCTTATTTTTTTTTTTATAGTTAATAGTTGGAGTTCCTCATAGAATTTATCCTTATCACAGCCACAGTGTTGTGGTATGTACATTGATGATAGAAATTTTGCAGAATTTTCTGGGGGTATCATGCGAACCAAGACGGATCCTTTCACCACAGAATCACTTAAGGATAGTGTTACAGTAGATCCCTAGCAGCCATCTGGATTTTGACTACTCTTGTTTTATTCCAGATTTTCTCCTGGCAAAGTCAAAGGTAAAGAAAACTAGGAGGGAAAAAATAAATCTTTCAAATTTAATTTATAATTTATTCACAATCAATTTATTGTTAATACTTCATTTTAAAATTTAAAAAAAAATTTAGTCTAATTTTTTGTAGCAAATTTTAAAGTTCCAGAAATAAATCTGAGAGAATAGTAGAGGGGAACAGAAATGACTTCTCAAAAAATACTTCTCAAAAAATAAAGTTTTTTAAAATATAAATTAATAAATTAAATATTTTAATAAATTAATATATTTGCATTTCATTTAGGTGAATGCTTCTGGAGACTATCGAATAGTTCGAAAATCCCTCATATCGGGCCATTGTTCATTAAAGAATATTGGGGTGCTATGGAGACTCCCATAGACACCGCTTTTACAGACCAATTCGACTGGACCTGGTTTGTGAAGGTCAGGTATGACTATGTTGTTCATCATAAATTCGAAATTTGAAATTTTTTTTTATTTTTGCTTTTTTTTCGGTTTTATCATTATGTAAATTGTAGGATGATCGCGCATGGCGAATAGACGCATCAACAGATACATTTCGATATTCGTCATTTCAGAATATTCATGAAACTGAACCATTTGCTACCTATCCATACAATTCTGTAGATGCTGTCTTAATCACTACTGGTAGTGATGATTATCAGCCATTCTTTTTTTTCTTGGGTAATCTTTTGGGCAGTGATTTGAGCAATCTCTGAGACTCCACGAAGACATTCTCATTTCATCTTTTCATCTGTATGATTACGAAAAAAACAGGCTTTTTATTTCGCTTCTTCGTCTTTGTGAATAGCGCAATTTAAAGGACCAAAGTATTGGTCAGATGGAAATGCAGACGGAGAACCCGATCAAGGCTATACTCGACAAATTAAAGAAATCGATGTTGAATTATCGAAAGTAGACGGCGCTATTTCTTTACCAACTGGAAATTTTATATTCTCGGATGACAAATATTGGAAAGTACAATCAGCTCGAAGTTCATTACAGGTTTTACTTCCCGCAGTTATATTACCATATATTTCCATTTCATGGAACTTATGGATTTCCCAAACGCTCTTTTATGAATTTCCTTATAAGCGCATTGAAAGAGCATAAGTTTTTAAAAAAACTTTATGAGATTTTGTGAATAAGTTGGTTCTTTTCAGAAGGAAAAGGATTATCCGAGGTCAATAAAGGAGGATTGGTTCCATTGTTTTTGATTATATTCGACGTTTTTCCATCAAAAAAATCTTGTTTCCTGTTTCGGATTTCGCTCAATATATTCCATGATCTCTTTAAAATGATCCTTCGCGGAAAAAAATAAAGTTCCAACCGATCTTTATCAATTTTTATGAAAAAAAAATTTTTTTACGCCAAATTTGTACAAATTAAGCGGGTATAAATAAAAATTTAATTATTTTTGCATTTGTATTAATTGTTACAATTATCACCACAGTACGGTGCTCGGATTCATATAAACTATAAACTTGGCTAATTAAACCAAACGTTGGCGTAAATTTCAGCGTCGCTAAAAATTATTGATAATTTTTTCATCTATAGAGATTTTTGAAAGAAATAGCGATAAATAGCGAGACAATGGTCATTCTCAAGGGTCAATTCATATTTATTTATTTATATTATTTATTATCTTGATGAAAAAGATTATCAAATCGATTCGATCCTTAAAGGTCACATTTATTTCTTTTCTAATTGATTTCATCACTTAACCGAGATTATCTCTGATAATAAGCGAAAACGAAAATAGCGTCGTAAAATTCTCGAATCGCCTTTCCGGAAAAAAGGAATATAAGAGGCTTTCTCGTTGATCATAAAACTTCTATTCTCATATATTAGCTAAAATCAAATTAAAATTAAATTAAAAATCTCTCCTTTGCAAAGTATAAAATTTTATGGAATTCGAAATAAATTGTTCATTTTAGTATTGAAATGGACCTATCGTTCGCTTTAAAAAAAGTTTCTAAAATTTCACAATTCTAATTTTTCGATAAATTCGAAAAAAATGCTAATGGTACATAAAATGACCGCCACTAAAATGTACCGCCTTCAACTAATCCAAAATTTGCCCTAACTAATCGTGCGGAAAGAAAATAGAATTACAATTACCGGTTGATGATTTCAAGAAGGTTTCGAATGCGTTCGGCATTTATTAAATATCCCTTGGCAATATTAACGTTACTTTTGCCTTATTTCTTCTCTCTACGACGATTTACAGCTGCTTCGCCAATCGCCAATCCAATAGTCAGCATTTTATAATTTCAAACTTGTTTTATATATACACATTCATGCATATATATTTTTAATATTTTTTATATTTTATGTTTGATATTCTTAATTAAAAGGAAATTTGCATAAATTTTAGCACAAATTATCACAATTAGTTGCCCTTTAGATGGAAGAAATTAAAAATAAATTAAGGTCGTACATTTCGTTTAGAATAATATTGTCAATGCATTTATGTTACTTATCACTTCTTATCAAAATAATAAAATAGATTTCTATTTAGATTTCTATTAATAATAAAAAATAGATTTCTAAGGAAAGTTAGAAAATTTCAAACTTCTCGGGGTCAGACCATTTTTAACGTCTTTTTTTCTGGAAGGCTTGGCTGATTTTGAAAATCAAACACTATTAAACTACTTGGTACTCATTTATGTTTCTATCACCGAGAGTCTCTTTGGAGCTGGAATTCCCATCCTTATGGACAGCCAAACCAAAAAAAGTCGCTAGAAGACGAAGTACAAGAAAATATTAAAATATTCAATTTAAATTTTAAAAAAAGCTTGAAAGAAAGAAACAATAATATTTCATCAGTTATCAATATTTTATCAGTTATCACATAAAAATGCTACATTTTTTATCAAAAATCTGAAATTTCAAGAAAATTTTACGATATTAGCAAATTATATAATCGCCTCGCCATCGTTTTTTCACAACTTTTTTTCATATAGAAACAAATTCTTTTTTTTAATAGAAGTTTGCTTTCTTTGGATTTGAAATTTTCTTCAGAAATTTTCCAACTAAATAGTGTTGCAGGAAACAAATAGAAATCAGAAAGGGTAATGGTCAGAGCTAAAAATTAAAGGAGATGGAATTTTCTAATAGCTAAACTCCTTGATTTTTTAGCGTGCATTTTTGCAAGGATACATTTTTGCATTTAACATTCCGCAGAATTCTATACTTTGCCTGTTGTGGGCAATTTTAATGACAATTCTTAAATATAAGTGGCAATAAAAAACAGAGGGAAAAGTCTGGCCAATAGCTCATAACTCCTTTTATTTGCCACCAAATACGTAATATTGGCTTACTCGTATATTTTCCGCTGATAACCAATGGCGCTAATTTCTACGAGTAAAGAACTGTCGTGAATAGAAAATTTTCAAGACCACTAATAATTCTGCCCAAAAATAATTCCCCTGAGATTAATAATCATTTGCCCTTAGGTGATTTTACCTCGAACCGATTTTACCTTATTTGACCTTTGCTGAGCATATATTGCTTGTTGGCTGTTTTTTCAGCGATTTATATACTTTTACTCATTACTTTTTTTTGGATCGGCTTTGGTGGATCGTAGAAACAACTTCTGAAAGTCAACCGAATTATTAGAAATCCTGCAAACTGAAAATTTTACTTTTAAATTTTGAAAATCATCTTTGGCATCGCCTCATCTTCAACGTCTCTAGATATGCTTCGTTTATATTACTTCTGATGTCGTTGCAGCATTTCTTTCAGCAAAATTCATAAAGCATGCAATATTTCAAATATTTCTTCGATGGTACTTCACGTTCATTGCTGAATTACTAAGCAAATTTTCATTAAACTCAACTAAAATATATATAGTGGTACTATACCAGAAATGATCTTTTTGCAAGGCATTATTTGATAAATTATCATAAATGCATGAAACTGATAAAAACGACGGATCATTACAAATGCTTGACGATATATCAACTTGCATAACGAATATTTTTGGTTTTCTTTAAGAAGAAAAAAATTAAGCAAAATTTGGATTTGGTCTGCTTTACCTATTTCTCCCTCCGTATGGAAATACTACTAACCTGGATGAGAAAAATTTTTAAAATTTTATATGAATAGATAAATATTAGTTATTAGATTACTTATAGATTACATCAACTGCAAATGGTGAGAATCCTTGCTTTGTAAAATAATTCTTTCAGGTTTATCTCAAAAAATATGGATACATTGATGAAACGACACTAATCAGTGATGCGTTGCGCAAATTTCAAAATTTTGCCCATTTACCTTCCACAGGTAAATGATAACAAAATACTTACATTTAATTTTATCTTTTCTTTTCATAATCAATCATTGTGATATGATAATTAAATAAAATATGAAAAAATAAATATAATAATATGAAATTTAGCGTAGAATAGACTTAACTGAAATGGTTGGTAAATTGATTAAAGTCACCTTCAGCTTAATTGGTCGACGAATAAAAAATCATGCAAAATCTCTTATTTCTTTTTTTGTCCCTTATCGTCGTTCTAGCCAATAATAATGTGAGTATAGAAAAATCTAACCATTTTCAAAGCTTATCAGGTTAGCCGAATGCCACGCTTTACTTGGATAAAAATCAAATCAAAATTGGATTCTGCTCCTTCTGATTTTTTGATTCTCTGATGAAAAAACTATGATCAAATCTTTAAAAAATGACACTATTGTAAATAAATTAATAAATAATAATAAATAATTTTTACAATAATAAATAATTTAAATAAAATAGGCGTGTTTGATGAAAAAACGACTAGAAAAATGCTCGAGAGGCGTTGTGGGAATCGCGATATTAAAATACGATCTGAATTTCAACTAAAAAATAATCGCCATAGAAGAAGGCGATATGTTATTGAAGGTTACATTGCATATCCTTAAATTCTGTAAAATACCAAAGATAAAAAATCTACTTCCAGGAAGCTATCTCAATTTTTTTTAGGATTTTTAAGATTGAAGTACTAAATAATCCTAGTAAATTAAGGAAGCAACCAAAGAATAATAGTGTCACCGTTATTTTACTGATAAACTCTGTGATAAAGATCAATCTGAAATTGTAAATCAAAAAGGATCAATCAAAAATTTGAAATTATAAGAATTTTATTCTTCATGGATCTTATTTGCCAGGTTCTTTCTGGAAGCATCGAAATATAACTTATCGCATAGTAAATTATTCGAAATCAATGTCGAGAGGTGATATTCGAAAAGTATTACGAAAAGCATTTCGAGTATAGCTATTTTCATTAGGCTCATATAAACTTTCCTTTCTTTCCTGATTAAAATGATAAAATAAAATAAATGATTAAATCTTTCTTATAGTTAATCTTTGCCTAAGTAACATTTCGCCGAAGTTAATAAAAAGTGATAAACTGATAAATTTGACCTAATTACCTAATTTCCATTAATTGATGTGGTAATAAAAAAAAAAAATGAAGTGATGAGCGAAATACCGCTGGGAAACTCACAGAAACTGAGAAATTCGCTATTTTAAAATAAAAAAAATATATTCGCTACTTTAAAATTTAAAATTAAAAAAATAAAATATTTTTAAATGATCTATCATTATATCATAAATGATTTTATTTTTGAAATCAAAGATCTCAGGTTTGGGAAGCTTCCGAACTATTAAAATTTTCGTACAAAACGAGGGGTTTTGTCGATTTGAAGATTGCTTTCGTTAAACGCGAACACGGTGATGGTCAACCATTTGATGGCAAAGGTTGAAAAATTCTTCTTTTTTCTTCAGCTATTTTTGTTTATTGAAATATGAGGAAAAATTGCTTATAGGACAAGTTCTTGCGCATGCATTCTTTCCTCGTTTTGGCGGAGATATTCATTTCGATGACGATGAATTTTGGAGTGCTAGAAAAGCCTCAGGCAATGCATTTATTTTCTCTAATACTGTATCATTTTTAAATAATTTTTTAAAATTATTTTATAAATTTAGCTAATTTTCAGATCATGAAGTGGATTTATATGCAGTGGCAGTACATGAAATAGGCCATTCATTAGGACTAATGCATTCATTCAATCGTAACGCTATTATGGTACCATTTTATAGAACTTATTCCGAAGAGCCTCTTCGTTTACATAGGTTATTTGTTAAATATAATAAAAAATATTTGATTTGCAGGTTCATGATGGAAACGGTTGTATTGGAAAGGTAGAATAGTATAGTCAAACGAGTAGACCTTCCACTAAAATCAAATACCATAGATTCGATTCTTGCAGATTGACGGCAATAATTTATTATTAAAAGTGAAATACGAATGGTACTAGCGACTCACCTATTATTTCTAACCGGAGAGGAACTTATTCTAGTTGTAAATTTTTTTTTAAGAGACGATTTGAATGCGCTCATTCACTTATATGGCACTACAAAATCCAAAACCACTTTAGAGAAATTTCCATTTCACAGTGATAATAATTATAATGTTGATCTGTGCAAAGATTCGACAATTAATGCGATCACCGTCACCGGAAATGGTTCCGCTTATGTTTTTAAAGGTAAAAAAAAGTTGAACTTTATTTAGTAAAACCAGAGTTCTTTAAAAACAACTGATTTATGGGTGATTTTTACGAAATACACTTTTATATTTTTTATTAAATAAAAATAATAGTAAAATATATTTAGATGATTATTACTGGAAATTGAACGACAATTCAATCGATGAGGGATATCCGAGAAAAATCAGCGACGACTGGGAAGGACTAAGCGGACCAATTGACGCCATACTCACTGACTTGGATGGTGACTCCTATTTTTTTAAGGTGATACATCTCATCTATTCAACGAGTCATGAAATATTCCGTAATTATTATAAATAGTGGATTAAATAGTGGATTAAATTTTTTTTCAACATTTCAGAAAGACAAATATTGGTTATTTAATCGAAATGGCAAACTGTATGCGAAATATCCCAGGTTGATAGTTATCGGGCTTACTGATACTCCATCCGATATCGATGCTGCGCTACTATCACCTCACGATTATAAGCCGTACTTCTTCAAAAGTACATTCAGATGAATATTAACGATGAATCTTAAAATATAAACAAAATTCCTGGGCGGACTCGTCCTATGGATATGGCCGATACTCGATTTATTCTCGAAACCTATTATGTTCCCTTGAACATCCTTGATGGGTAATGGTGAAGATGAGGACTGCTATAACTGCATAATTGAGGCAATAAGGTGGCAAACAAGACATTATTTGACCGACTATCGCAAATTGGAGTTTTGTGGAAAGGATTGAAAAAATGTTTGAAGCTAAGCCAAAGATGCTTAGAGGGATTTCTCAGTATATAACTAAATGATGCCTTTATGATGGACTGTAGCTTTTGATGTATGATTACGAAAAAAAGTGGTTCTTTATGTCTTTATGACTGGACCAGGAGATTTTCTAAAACCATATTGGCGTTTATTTAAGGCAATATTTACTGGAAATATTCACGTTGGGGTATGCCGAATTATTATCCAAAACCGATAAAAAACCTCTTCCAAAATTTACATATGGTTCCACAGAAGATCGATGCAGCAGTAAACTGGTCGAATGGTAGATCTTATATATTCGCTGGACGATATTTCTATAGACTAGACGATTGGCGATCAATGCGTGTTTCTTATGGATATCCACGTGATACAGCAACGTGGTGGTTTGGATGCAAAGGAGGCAATCGCACCGATAAATGATAAATAATAAAATAAATAAAGTTTTAAAAATAGGTGAATTTTCTTCCACATTCTTTTATGAATTGATTTTTTTATACTTGGGACTTATCAAACAAAAAAAATTTTAACGAAAATAACAGAACTGAAAAACAGCTATAAAAATTATATAAGGAAATTTTAGTAAATTTTTTTCGGAAGCAAAATTCCTATTCTTGTGGAAGAAAGTAAAGTAAACATCAATAAACAATAAAGATTTATTGCACAACTTAAATTTGCCCAAAAATCTAATAATATTTTTAACTTTAATGAAGAAGCTCAAAATAATTATGAAAATGGCACTATTATTTACAAAAATAAAAATATGCACAAGAAAAATCACCAACTAAAATTAAAATAAAATCCCAAAGCAATATGCTATGAAATAATATGATATAAATAAATAAGTAATGAGCATCAACAATTTCTTAACAATTTGAAATGAGTCTTCAATAAGCAGTTCAGTTAACATCAATCCATGTTAAGATCTCAAAGCTTTTTTTTTGTTGAGATTTTTCCTTAATTGAAATACTTTTTCAACTGCCTGAAATCATTTTTCAGTTGAAAAAATTATTTGAAAATTTAAAAGTCTTCAAAACAGCAATAAATTAGCAAAATTTCAGCGAATTCAGTAAATTTCCACTGTTATAATATTTAAAATCCATTATCCTATATAAGTACATGGATAAATATTTAAAAATTGGTATTAAAATAAATCGTTTAAATGAGAAATATTTTAAAAAAATAAAGATTTTTTGAGTAAAAAATAAAATGAATCAAAAAAAATAATAAATATGAATTTTCTAGGTCAAATGATTGTAAATTAACTAAAAATGGTTTTTGTTAATTTAATTTAGCTTACTTCTTTGAAACATTGAAGATTATAATCTATTAGACCTTGTTTTTCGAAATTCTCCGTTCTAATAATACAGACTAAAGCTAGAAATACATTTATCTGAAAATTAGAGTAAATAAATATGATAAAGAAAGAAAATTTTAGTTTCACTTCACAGCATCAAATTTTCAATTGTACCTGTTTCAGAAATAATACTTGATCTGTTTTTAAATGGATTACAGAAGATGAATTTGAATCAAAAGATTTTTTTGCTTTATCAACCACTTCATATTCCTCAGTACACCTTAAAAAAAGTTTATATAAATATATAAATATATAAATTTAAGAATATGCGAAATATCGATTAATACCAATCCATGTAAGATCTCACAGCTTTTTTTTTGTTAAGATTTTTTCTTAAATTATTTCAAAGTCGAATAAATGAATAACAGCAATAAATTAAATGAATTTTCTAGGTCAAATGATTCTAAAAATGGTTTTTAATTAATTTTAGTTAATGAATAACGAATACAAAATACATATCATATATATCCGATATTTCCATAGTTAAATCAATCATATCGCAGCATAATTCATATGATGCCATATCAACAGGAGCTGAGTCAGTGGCCACGTAGATTTTGCTAGCTATATCAAACAGAAATGATTTAACCACGTTTGATCCCTGGAAATAATAATTAATAATGAATCTATTTGATATAATCTATTTAAAATGAAAAAATTCAAAAAAAGAAAAAGAAACTGAAAATTTCCACATAGAAGGAAGTAAACATCTTGGGCCATTTTCTTGCATCAAGGAATGCGTCTGGCGAAATCACTATGGAATCGCCACGAAATCACTTTCAAAAAGAAAATCCACACAAACCTGTACGCCCTATCTTGGTACATAGCTACGAAACATGACTGATAAAAGTGGGAGATATTTTTGATTATTCATGCTTAAAGAATCTTACGCATTAGTCGAATGAGCAATCTCATATGTTTATATTCAGCTTTGCTTGATTATTTATCTGCATAAATAATATCGTTGATGAATACCTCTCTATTAATTAAGCTCTGTGATGCTAAAGGCCAACTGAGTCCTTGACTTATACATTCAGTGGAGTTTTTGAACATATAGGCGGAGAAACACAGGTTTTCTTATACCAGAAAAATAATTAATAACATCAAAACCTGGTTGAATATATCAAGAAGACTCTCAAGAGTAGAAAGTTGTTTGATTAGTTTTTGAACCACTTTGCTGAATGCTTCAAATATTGAATGGTCATAAATTGATGTTAAGTGGTATCTGAAAATAAACCATAGAATATTAAACGGAAATATATGCAAACAAATACAAGCAATGACTTTTGCAGGCGAAAATATGACCATATATAAAATTGAAATTAATATTTATTACGTTATGAGGATGTGTTCGCAACCTTGCGCTGCCAGCTCATCTTGCACGCGCTGGAAAATATCTCGTTGTGTATCTAATTTAAATTCATCATTAAGACCATCAACTTTATGAATAAAAACCTGAAAAAAATTTTTAGATTATTTAAATCTAAATTCTGCAATTCCGCAAAAATGGTTTTTTAAAATATTTTAAAATAAAATATTCGAAAACACGAATTAGAATGGAATATAAATCTGAAAAATTTAATGAAACAGAGAATAAAGTTGGGACGATGAAATAACTTATGACACAATTTTAAATGCAAAAAAAAACAATTAATTAAAAATAAAAAAGAACAAAAAACAAAAAAACATAACTGACCAGTTTTGTTCCCATCAGCGCAATAAATTTAAAAAATATTTTTAACATTATAACTAATATAATAGATTTTAATAGATAGAAAAAAAACCTAAATTATGCATTAAACAAACCTCAAATCTGATATTTTTATTGATAGTATATGCCCGTCTGAAATATTCACACATCCTCTTCAGAGCTTCCGAATAATCATCCTGCAAAAAAACCGCGAACTCTTTGAAGCAACACATTTAATAAAAAACCAATGTAAAAAAATAATATTATAGGCATGATCGTCGACTAGTATTTTGCTTCGAAAGAGGGTGGCAAATCCGGCTTCTGGCTCATTACAACATCTTGTCAGTGAAAAAAATTCCACTTTCATCGTTTTCTATCTCCTACTGATTCTCCCAAAAGTAAAGAAAAAATAGTCAACTCTAATAGAGAAAGAAGAAATACAAAAATAATATACTTGAGCATCAATAACAAAAAGGAGTGCTCCACAACGAATAAAAGTCTCATTAGGATCCATGGCTGCATCGAAAGGGCTCATTTGACCAGGAAATTCGATGGTCTCGAAATTAATAAAAGAATTTGAAGCAGTTTCTTTAGTAACACGAGGTGTACTTTCAACAAACAATGTTTCATTTGGTGACATTTTACTAAATACCACCTTCCGAATTGAGGTTTTTCCACTTCTGAATTAAAAATAGAATAGCGAACAAAAAGATAAAATTATGGTATATAATAAGTTTGATGAGGTGCAATTCTTAAATAATTCTTAATTTAAAATATCCATTTCAATCCTTGTAAAGCAGTTGTAGAACTGAAATCGGAAGAAGTGTCGTGTTTTAGTTTCATTTCTTTTTCTACTATTTTTTTCATCCTCTTTCTCATTTCCTCATCAATAATCTATTGTACCCAATAATAATAAAAGATATATCACATATTGTCCACATTATTTTTTCATTAAAATTTTTGAAAATATTTCGACGAACTCGAAAGCCAATATACAGACTAAATGAAAATAGATATGATATTATGGATAATGGACAATTTTCAAATATTACCGAATATAAGCAAGCAAAATTTAAGAACCTTTTTAGACCGACTAAAACAATGGTCGGTTTTTGATTACACGACGATTCATCGGTATCATCCGGTAGTCCATATTCATATTCATTATTCTCCTCCTTCCATGCGCTCGCTTCAGTATATTCATCAAACATTTGATTAACTTTAATTAAAGCATTAATAAAAAACAATAAAAAATGTTCTTTAATTCTTGAAATGAATTTTTGTTTCGAAAATATTAAAAACATTAATGTAAATATGTAAACATTAAATATTAAAAACAAAATTGAACCAAAACAAAAGCATTTTTATCATAAATAAAAAGCTAATATAAACCACAAAACCACCTATATTTCCACGATTAAACAGAACCATCGGAGCAAAGCACCCACACTCGTTCGTATTAAATAAGGTAAATAAAAAAACATCAATTGCACTAAACGCACTGGCACGAGATATAAATCACTAATGGAGTTGCACATGTTGCATCCTTTTAAGAGTTACAATTATAAAAACAGTATATAAAATTTAAAAATTTAAACAAAAATCTCGAAGTCAGATTTCGAAAATAACAAATTTTTAAAAAAAATAGAAGCCCCGCACACCCCCTCTCCCCCTCCCCCCACCCTCCAATTTAAAAAAACAACGATCTAAAAAAATTTCATGTATTCAAGCACGAAAATTTTTAAAACCACAGTAAAATTATCATAAAGTCGCTTTAAGACCAGGAAAGGAGGGAAATTTAAATAATAAAAACTCACTCTGTCAATTGCTCGCTAGTCATTTATTGGTTTAAATTTGGTTGGCTATGAAGTTTAATTCATAGGTTAGATATGGTATCTATCATTTTAGGTTATTTCGGTGACTATTTCCGGGGGTGGGTGGGTGAGGGGGTGGACAAATGGTTGGCATTGGATTATGCAAACAATAAATTATAACGTTTTTCGTCCAACCTTTTCGCTTAGCTGCATTAAGTGAAGAGGAAAAAGAGGAGGGAGATACGCCGAATATGTATTAAAATATGGAAAAATTTCTTTTTTTTATGATAAAATGATAAAATTATGATAAAATGATAAAATATTAAAAGATACTTTCTGCCAACACAAAACTATTTGAGCTCGTTTTTGAGAAATTCATCAGTGACTACTTTGGTGGCCAAATTCTTTGTGAATTCCGTGGCGTACAATAGACTATATTCGGTTCGGGGCAAAATATTGGACATCTGATTTTAATGATATTGGATCACTGGGAGGACTGGGAAAGCCGACATTTAGAAGGGGCTATTTCTATGTAAACGGTTACTATTAAATTGTTTTTATTTTCATTGAGATATTGTCGAGTGCTTGCCGAGTGATTTTGGCCTATAGAAGCTGCCTAGGCCAGAAGCCTTCGATCTTTTTCATGCTGTAGATCCTGGGCCAACAGCTTTGGCTCAAAGTACAGCACTGAAGAAAGTGAGCGAGTCGATTCAACTGCATAGTGAAAGGAGAGAGCGAATCGAATGACATTCAATGACAATGGATGTATTCTGCGCTTGCAATTGTCCGCTCTGTTTGTGCATGGCTGTTAATTTTTTTCACCTGCAAATGTCATATACTTCATTTTGCCTTCTATGTTATTTTCCTGAATCATTTTTTAGAAAGGAAATGGAAAATTTGTAAAAATTTTTTATTTTATGCAGGGAATTGTCATAATCTCAAATGACTCGGTTCAGAGATTTTTCAAAAATTGGCGAAGGAACATATGGCACTGTCTATAAGGCATTGGACAAAGTTAGTGGTACGACGATTGCGCTCAAAAAGATTCGCCTAGATCAGTAAATTTTTCTTTTTTTCCTTTTTTGAGCTTCAAATTTGTTAATTTTTTTAATTTTTTTAGATTTTATAAATTTAAAATTATTTGAATTTTCCAGAGATTCCGATGGAGTACCATCGACTTGTATACGTGAAATTTCATTACTAAAAGAACTAAAACATTCAAATATTATTAAACTTCTAGATGTTATACATAAAGGTTGGTTAGAGCGATATTTTGCCTTCGGCAGACTCTCGTCTGAGTGCTAATGGCCATTTGTATAATATACCCATATTGCATTTATTTTTCTCATTTTTATTGGCTTAAATTAAGCACATCACCCAAACACAAATAATAAGTAAATAAGAGATCTATTTTCAGACCTATTTTTAAAATATTTAATTATTTAATTAAATACATTATTACATTATTTAAAAATAGTTTAAAAAATATTTGAATAAAAATATTTATTTGAATTTTTTTTTTCCAAAATAATTGGATATTTATTTGAGATTTGAGAACATAATACGTCGCCAAGCTTCTTTAAAATATTAAAATTATTTATATTTATATAAATCAAATATTAAAATATTAAATAAAAAATTGTCGAAACTGGAGCAAATAAAATAATTTTATAGGTTCACGTCTATTTCTTCTTTTCGAATTCATAGACCGTGACTTGCAAAATTTGCTGAAAATTTTGAAACCGCGTTTATTGCCAACATCATATATAAAAGTAATTTATCTAGTATTTTTCTTATTTATTATTTCTTTAATTTAGGATTAGGAAAAAAAAAATTACAGTGAGCGATTTTTTTGAAATAAGAAGATTGGATTTATAGCATAATTGATTTTTCCATACTTTTAACTTTCATTAAATTCTTTCACATTTGAAATTTTTCGTAATTGTTTGGTTTATTTTTTATTGGACCATCCTATTTGTAGAGTTTCTTGTATCAACTTCTGCAAGGTTTGGCTTTTTGCCATACGCATCGTGTTATACATCGCGATTTGAAACCTCAGAATATATTAGTGACAGATTCTGGCATTATTAAATTGGCAGATTTCGGCTTGGCTCGTTCATTTTCTATTCCGGGCCGATGTTATACTCTTGAAGTAAGTTACAAAATATAAGCCTCAAATTTATAAAAATAGGCAGAAGATAGATATGTTTATAAATTTTAATCGATAATTTTAAATTATCATCTGCAACTATCAATTTTTTAGAAATTTTTCACGTTTGAAAACAGTCAAATTTCTGAATTCTAAATAGTTTCAGGTTGTCACATTATGGTATAGAGCTCCAGAACTTCTTCTCGGTAGTGATTTTTATTCCTGTTCCGTTGACATTTGGAGTCTTTCTTGTGTTTTTGCTGAAATGGCTATGGGAAAACCGCTATTCGATGGAGATTGTGAAATTAGCCAATTGTTTAAAATTTTCCGAATCCTTGGCACACCAGATAATGAGGTTATTCAGTTTTTATCGATCTTTTCTATTTTCCTCTTTCATCTTTTTAAATGTCATTTAAAACTTATAGCTTATTGTGAACTTTATATCGAACTTACAGTGGCGTAATTTAATGTAGGAAAATGGCTATAACGAAATTGCTTTTTTCTCATTTTCATTCAATATAATTAATATAATTGTAAAGTAGAACATCGATGGCCGATAATTCGTGAAATTTCAGTGAAATCTTTTCTTCACTTCCTCTTTTTGACCTTTTATATAATTCATGTTTGGGCACAAGATGAATTCAGTTAATTCTTTTTTATTATTAAACGAACTAAAACTTAAAAGCTTTATTAAACTTGGCTTTTAATTTAATGGTTCATCATAAAATGAAAGTATTATAGGTATGGCCTGGTATTACAAAACTAAATTACTATAATAAAGCTTTCCCTATTTGGAAACCAGCAGATCTCAGTCTGTACATTAAAGGGCTTGATGATGATGGTCTTGAACTTCTTTCAGTAAGATTAATCAATTTCTTCATCGTCTCTATTCATTTAATCGAAATTTAATATGAAAATTTGAAGTTTTTCAAATATGAAATTTTGACATTTTATCAGAATCAAAAAAAAATCAGAATCAGAATCAAAGTTTTTTTTTTTGATTTTCAGAGTTTTTTGATGAATAATATACTATTGCAGCAAATGATGACAATTCGTCCGGACGAAAGGATTACTGCTAAAATATCTTTAAGTCATCGATTCTTACGAGATGTTCCTCTGCTTTTACAATCAGTTAGTAAACTTTTGAAATCATTTGATACGAGACATGTTTAAAATGTATGTTTTTTAAATTTATTTTCTGTTTTTTCTGTAATCTAAATATAAATTTTTTCTGCGGCGAATATATTTTATCAAGCATCAAAGGTTAAAAGATCTTGTCAGGTGCAACATAGGCTAATATGGAGAAAAAAAATGAGATGGAAGGTTAGAAAGCGGTCTAGAATCGCATAGGCACACCAGTGCAGATTTAATTTTCAGATATTATATTTTTTATTCAACAAATCTAAACACACTGCTAACCAGGTGACACCAACAATTCACCTGTAGTTCTATCGCTCCTTACCAAAATTTATTTAATCTGACAGGCCAACGGAGCGAAATCTACTAGCAATGGTGAGAATTCTCACAAAAAAAAATATATTGATGAATTTTATTTATTTTGTTTGTTACATTATGTTTATTCACACTAATTTCCTTTTGTTTTGTCACCATTTCTGATTTGATTGGCTTCACGAACTATCAATGTGCCTCTCCATTTTTTATGGTGAGGCTAACATTTCCATAAACGAGATTTTTCGTTATATTTTAATTACCAGAAATTTTATCTTTTTTTTTCTTTTTAATTGAATTGTTGTGCTTTCTTCTCGAATCGTTGTTTTTTACCCAAAATTTTTCTTATTTTATAATTATTATTAACATTGTTATTTTATTTTATGTTTTTTTCTTATTTTATATTTTTTTTGTTAACAATTTAAATTTTAATAAATTGAAAACGCTAAAATAAAAATAATCCAAAATCGAAAGCTTTCTGCCCAATTAACCACTGCAGGGGATCCACGTGTGGCATTTAACTTAATTCTAGAAATTTCCAAAAGTCTTCACGGTTATTCGAACTTCAGTTTTAATAAAATGACAGATTTATCAAGCATTAAAGTTCGATAAAATTCTCAATAATTCGTTTCTGCCATTTATGTCAAAAGATGAAGATTGGGTTGGCCGAGAAGTTCGACTTTGACTGAGATCAGTTATAAGAAGTGGAAAGTTGTCTGACATCACTTCTTACCACAGCCAACATTAACCAAAAAATTCGGATTTCTCTAAAAGAAAGAGCTGCGAAGGAAGGAAAAAAGCAGCAAGCCAACCGCGTAGAATGATTTGAAGCAAACCAACCAAACCAACCGAACCGACCGAACCAATTGTAACCAACTTGAAGACTCATTACTACTACTGTGCAGCTCAACTTTTCACGTAGCTCATACGACAAATAGTGGGTGAAAAGCTGCATTATAGTGTGCTGCCTCTCCAATTTGGCGCGAAAATTTTGAAAAAATATTCTTAACCACGATGATTGAAAATAGGCTTTTTTGATTTTGGTTTTTTCTTGGAGGGGAGGGGGTGGGGATGGGGATTTGTGAGTTATTGGAGAGGAGTCCATCCTTTATAAACCTTCGCTTCAACATAAATCTTTCCAGCATTTCACCATTTCACCTTTCAATATAATTTATTATGTTTGATAATTCGATTCGAAACGTCTATTTTTATGTATGTAATCTAATAAAACGGAAAGCATATGGAAAATAAGGCAGCTTAGATGAGAGAGAGAGAGGCAATAAGTAGCGCATAATCGACGTATGCGCAAAATCGTTTTTACGCGATTCGCGAGACTAAGTGTGCAGAATCGCTGCAATTATTACTGCCATTATAACTACGCTTATGAGAGAGGTAAGTTTATTAATTTATTATTAATTTAATGTTTTTTCTTTCTTAAGATGGCGCTGATGGTTCGGAACTACGATGAAGATCGCGAGATAATTCGGTCATTTTTTACGAATTATGGTTTTGTAACAGATGTGGAATCAAAAATTTTTCCGTACTATGAGATGGTTAAGCGATGTGCTCAGCGAAAAATGGTTAATTTATCATTATTATTATTATTATTTATCTACACTAATGATAAATGATTATCATTAATTATTAGTGAAATTATTAGTGAAACAAATTTTTTTCTCTTTATTTTTCTCTTTTATTTCTCTTTATTTGATTTATTTTTCAAAAAGTATAAGAAAAGGTGAAATTATTTGAAAATATTTTCAGTAATAATAACAGTAATAAAAGTTATGAGAATCGATGCGTAGATTTTTATCATTGCAATCTATTAAGATAAAATCTTCGTTTTTATATTTTCGAGAGTTAAAACTATGCATTCATTTGCTATATTAATAAAACTAGTGTAAGTATATAGTTTTCTCTGTTTTGAATTAAAGAAAATTATTGCGATTCTTCTCAAAAATCGTAACGGCGATATGGCGGAGGAGAATTTTCGATTCGTAAATTTTTTGCTTACTGACTCCTAATTGAAGAAAAATTTAAATTATGAGAAATATCTCCTAGGCTTTAGATTTTAAAGAATTTCAAATGAACTTATATTATGCTTTAAGCACTTTTTTTCAGAAACGTAGGATCAATAGGTAAATAAACACTAATCTAATATTTACTTTAAATTTACGTGAAATTTACGTGTAAACGAATTTTTCAGATTTTAATACCTATAAAATTAGATGATATGTACGAATATAATCCAGAGCTTTGCGCTGCAATCTATGGAAACGTTAAAAGATATCAGTTATTATTTGAAGAAGTTATCGATGATTTTATTACTGAATATCTCGGCGATGATCCAGTTTGTTTATTCAAATTTAGTCTATTAAAATCATATATATTGCTTGGTTTTCTAGAATCTATTACTTCCAGCTAATCCAGTAAATGGTCAAATTTAAGATTTTTTTGCATATAACGTAACCATTCTGGCTAATTGAATCTACTGGCTTTACTAAAAGAATCTATTAAAATAATTCAATAAAACAGTACATTGTTTAACTTAGAATTAAAGGAAATCATTTACGTTGGGCAAAGAAGAGAATAATAAATTCCCTTAAACCCTAAGATGAATTATTAAATTCTGTTAATTCCTTACGTCAATATTACCTCCTGTTCAGTGCTTATTTAGGTTTCTCTTAAGGATAAAAAAATTCAAGCTTTAGAAAAAATGGGCCATAGTGGAATTAAAGATTATAATTAGGGAATTAGTGTAATTTTTAGAGAATGAATTCATGATGATAAAATAAATGCAATAAAATGTAGCGAAACTGATAGTATATGATTTGGGAAGATGTGCTGCGCTATATCATAATAACATTTGCAGATGCCAGTTTGTGATGCATTGGATGCTTTCATATTTCAACGTCTTTATATGGATCGAGTAAGGAAGGAGCAAGAAGAAAAGCGAAAAATTTCAGTGAAAGAACTACGCAAAAATTATCCTCCACAGTTGATGCGTCGATTGTATTTTTTTCTTATATTCGTCTTTTAATTTATCATTAATTAATGTTTGCTATATGATTTCGTATAATCTACAGTAGGGTGGTGTTTGCTTTCAGCGAAATCATATTTCAAGCTCGTGGCATGGATAAAACTTTATCTGTGCGTGATGTAAAATCGATGCATGTTGGAAAGTTGGTTACTGTTAGTGGTGTAGTTATACGATCTACCGAAGTAAAACCAATGGCATCAGTTATAACATATACATGTGATACTTGTGCATGTGAAACTTATCAACCGGTTAATAATACTCATTTTTTTGATACATCAATTTAATAGAAAAATAATTCTAAAAATAATTCTATTTTACTAATAATTGAAAAATTTCATTCATTGTTTTTTTACAGGTGATTGGGCCATCTTTTATTCCTGTCGCTATGTGTCCATCTCAAGACTGTATCCAATCGAAAGCAAATGGTCGTCTTCAAATGCAGATTCGTGGTTCAAAATTTATCAAATTCCAGGAATTGAGGATCCAGGAGATTGTGAATCTTTACTGTCTTTTTTTTTCTTAATCTATTTTCGGTCATTCAAAGGGTATAATATGGGATTGATTTTATTTCATAACCTATCATATCATCTAAATATCATCTTATATCATCTAAATAATATTTGGAGTATTTGGAAGTTTTTCCAGTTTTTGTGAGAAATTCTTTGATTTATTTTTGGAAAAATTTCTTGAACTGTTAAGAATATCACAAAATCCTATCCTATTTGCCAATTTAGTAAAATTTAAATCTGCAAAATTATTTTAATTTTTATTGTACCAGTCCCATTCATTTTTATTATTTTGTTAATACATTTGTAGAATGAACAAGTACCTGTTGGAAACGTTCCTCGTTCAGTTATTGTTCACATACTTGGTGAAGTAACGCGCCATTGTGTTCCAGGAGATCATGTTCGTATTACCGGTGTTTTTATTCCTCTCTTGCGCCCTGGATTTAAACAACACACTGGGGGCTTAATTACTGATATCTATTTGGAAGCCCATACAATTCAAAACGTCAACATGGTAAATTTTTCATTGCAGAAATCGGAAACAGGATTTTCATTCGGAAAAAACTCTCATTTTAGGAAGGATCGTATATATTTGGTCCTAATGATGAATTAACTGATGAGGAAATCGAACTGGCAGCCCAAGATAACTTTTACGAACTAATGGCTCGTAGCATTGCACCAGAAATTTATGGTTATTTAGATATTAAAAAATCATTATTATTGGCTCTTGTGGGTGGAATCGATAGAACTGTGAGTAGCATGAAAGTCAGAGGTAATATTTTTACTAATTCCAAGGTTTATTAATCCCTATATTTCATACAGTTTTACATTTTACTGAATATTTTTACTGAATAATTTTAGGATGTATTAATATTCTACTCATGGGAGATCCAGGTGTAGCGAAATCACAATTACTGTCTTATGTTGATCGATTGGCTTTTCGCAGTCAGTATACAACAGGTCGAGGATCTTCGGGTGTAGGATTAACGGCAGCTGTTATGAAGGATCCAGTAACGAAGGAAATGGTGTTAGAAGGTGGTGCATTGGTACTCGCTGATCAAGGTGTTTGTTGTATAGATGAATTTGATAAAATGCTAGAAGGTGATCGTACAGCAATTCATGAGGTATATTTTCTAAAGTTTTGTAAAGACAAAAATTGCAATAAAGTGTGGTGCTATGCAGGTCATGGAGCAACAGACTATTTCAATTGCAAAAGCTGGGATTATGACCACTTTAAATGCTAGAGTATCAATAATTGCTGCTGCGAATCCTGCTTATGGGAGATACAATCCTAAAAAATCAATAGAGCAAAATGTGGATTTACCCGCTGCACTACTTTCACGTTTTGATCTCATTTGGTTGATACAGGTTTATATATCTTGAAATGAATTCAAAAGAGAAATAGGTATTTCCATATTCAGAAAAGCATGCAAAAAATAATTTTTTGTGAACTTCAGAAGTTTCTTTTATTTTAAAGGAAATTTTGCTTAAGTCTTATGATAATTTTAATTTTTTTTTAGTTTTATTATAATAATTTATCAATTTTTTAATCAGTTCGACTCAAACTTAAAACCAAAATTTTGTCGGCTTAATGAATTTTTATATATATTTGCCCTTGTTGTAGATGGCGTCAAAGGCGAAAAAGCCTGGAATAATAGATAAAAAGAAATTTTGGAACCCTTAGTTATTTATAGCGATGGGTTTAGATGGTGGAAAATAAGTAGCATTTATTTCTTTTAAAAATGGCTTCAGACCAGGGTGCTTAGAAACGCATCGCTTTTTTAGCTAATGGTATTCGTCGTATAAAAATAAGCACGTTTTTGCTGCAAATTGAATAAATTAATGAATATTGAAATATTGAAAGGAGATCGTAAAAATAAAAAATTATAACTTTTGTAGGATAAGCCAAATCGTGACAATGATTTGCGACTAGCCGAACATATAACTTTTGTGCATATGAAGGGCCGTGAACCAGAGGAAGCAGAATTCAAACCACTTGATATGCGCTTAATGAGGTATTATTAGCAGTATTATTGATTTAATGTTTTTTTTTTTAAAGCGCTTATCATTTCTGGTTAAATTCTCTGCTGCGTACAAAACAAATTTTGGCTAGGAGTACAGGCGATTCTTCAGCATTACGTGAAAGGTTGATTTACTCGTGCTGAAAAAAAAATCCAAGTGTCGGCGTTATGAAATGAAAGCACTGACATTCTAGCTCCAATACATTCAAATTAAACGCAGAAAAATTTGCTTTGTATCCATTTTTATTCATCTTTCGCTCAATTTCAAATCTGATTAATTCTAGACGCTATATTGCTAGTTGCAAACGGAGAAACCCACTTCTAGAACCAAAATTAAAGGAAAGATTGGTGGAAAAATACATTGAAATCAGGAGGGAAGCACGTGTGAATAAGGTACTCTTTTCAATTTTTTCGTTTTTATAATTGTAAATAATGAAAAATGAATTTTTAATTTCGTTATAATTTATAGGATAATGTTCTTAATTTTTTTTCAAATATTTTTTTATTATATATGATATCGCAGGATTCGATGTTCACTTCACCTCGCAGTTTGCTGGCTGTGATTCGTATGGCTACAGCTCTCGCTCGTTTAAGGCTTTCACAGATTGTTCATTTATCTGATGTTGAGGAAGCAATCCGACTCTTTGAGGTAAATTTATAGAGTTATCCACTCCGAAATGTATCATTTTCGTTTCAGCACTATGGATTTTGAAATCCACACAAATTCACAAATTCCAAAAGAAATCCATATAATTGGAAGTTTTTAGGCATGTAAATCATCGCTTCGTACTGAAAAGCAGCAACAGTTGGAACAAATTTTACCAATAGACAAAGCTTTCGGAATTATGCGTGAACTCTATTTTAGAAAAATTGAAGGAAAGGATCCGACTCCTATTAGATTATATGATGTTATAACTGAATGTTCGAAGAAAGGAATTGATGAAGAAATGACTCGTGCTTGCATTGAAACATATAAAGCAAGTGGAGTTATTGTGGTCGACCCAGTTGAAGGACTTCTTTTCAGCATGAGTTAATTATTAATTATTTTTCCATCCATTCCAAAAATATTTTATTTTCTTCCTATATAACAGCTTTTTTTTCGATTTTATTTTCACCGATTGAATTGGTTATTTTTTATAAATTTGGTGGAATTTCAATTTAATTAAATTTTTAATGCCATCCCATTCTTTGATATCGCTAATACTGAAAAAATAAATAAATCGCATTAGTTACCAATAGGAAATTTTACTTGTTTCGGCATATTGCCATATTTTATAAAATTATCAATTAGATCAATAAATTATGCACTAATTTAAATAAAATTAATTTTGAACTAACAAAAATGGCATATGTAACGTTAATGTCGTTTATATTTTTGGAAATTTTTATGATGAATATTTGCTTATTTATTTGTTTAATCATTAAGCGAAAGCAAATAATTAGCTATATATTTGAAATAGAAAAAATTGATAAATGTAAAATGAAAAATTATTACAAGTTGTTTTAAATATCAGATATTTAAATTATAATTTTAATTAAGAAAAGAATTTTAAGTAAATAGGTAAGTAAAAAAAAATAATTTCCGTCCTCACCACTATTAATCGGAAATTTTTGCCAAAGATGGATAACCAGCATTATATAAAATTTGATTTATTTTATATGAATATTGTATATTATAAATAGATTTCGCCACTTTCTTTCTTTTTTTGTCGAAATTCAATATTGAAAAGAAAAAAAAACTCGATTACGATTGTCTTAATTGTGAATTGTTTAGTGGATTGTTTATCTAAATAATTTTGCATATTTCGTTAGTTTTTCATGGCAATTGCTCAACATAATTACGCAACTGGATGAATCGATCATTTAATTAGCGTTAGATGATTAGATGAGTAGAATTTAAGCTTTGGCTTTGTTTTAGAATTTCAATAATATCCATTTTCAATAAAATATAAAACTTTATAGCCCATCAATTAGCGCGTTTAATATTTACAATTGGAGAACAGCGAATAGAACGAAAATTACTTAATTACTCGTTTGATTTTAACGATTAAAAATAAGTGCATAAGATTTACTATTTATTACCTATGCAAATTCGAAATGCAACTCTCCTCCGAGGTTTTATTGCGTTATTATTAAGCAAAACTTACTTATAGACAAAATTTACTTTTTACAAGAATGAGAAGCAATTCAGATAACCCTCGAGCGACTGGAAGAAGAACCACAAGCAACAGCAGGAAGCCGCCTCTTACAACAACGACAGTAATACAATGAGTAACACATGTAGCGGCGCGAAATGGCTGAGTAATTCGGGGCACTAAAAGTCATACATACATTGCTAAAAGTCAGACTCTCTGATTTCATATAATTCATTTTATTGAAGAATTGATGTAGATTTGAATAGTGAGCAAGTTGAGATGAGTGCAGCGCTGCCGAATCCAGCTATTGCTAAGGATTTAAAAGACGGCAATTTGTTATGCTTGGTTTGCCATTCTCAGGTGGGGGTTTATCGATTTTTTTCAAATATTTTAAATGAAAAAATAAAAAGAACTAATTTACTAAATTTATTTATTATTAAAATTAAATTTTTAATTAATCAAATTTATTATTAAAATTTATTATTATTATTATATTAAAAGAATTATTAAATTTATTGTAAGTGTAAAAAAAGGAGAGTTTTAAAAGAAAATTATATAAAATTATACAAAAAGTATAAAAACATTAAATTATATAAAAATATAAAATATTAAAAAAATATTAAATGAAAAATTTTTTTTAAAACATAAATTTATACAAAAGAAAATTTTTTTTCTGGAATATTCTTGAAATTCTCCTCGTTAGAATATTTTCTATTATTATTATTAATTTGCTATTTGTAATTCTTTGAAAAAATATTTTTTTAATTTTTCTTCTTTCCCATTTTATTTTAGGTAAAAAGTAAATTATGGATAGCACATTCAAATGGTAGAAAACACCGAGAAAATATTGCAATTTTGAAGAAAAATTTTATCGCCACGACAAATAATAATCAACAGCAAAACGATGATAAAAGGAATAATAAGAAGCGTAATTTGAACGATCAGAATGCGCTGTCGGTTTCTTCGCCTAAAAAATTTAAAAGTAATTTATTTTGTTTTTATTTAAAATTTAGAATGTTTAAGAGATTCATAGCTTTGAATGATGGACATAGAGTATATACACCAAGCATCCCATACTTAAAAGTGAGGATGAGGAATCAAGAAAGTCTACAAGTCTAAGGCATATCGTGAAGAGCCAGCCCAATGAGAAAAACAAAATCCTTGCCATAAGTATGCTCTGCCAGTCATCAGATATAGTGGCCTAATGAGGAGGTCAAAGGAAGACATAGAAGTTACCGATGTGAGATCTCAAAGATTCCTCGTAGTATATGCAAATTTCCACTTCAAATTTAATACCCAATGGCTGTATATCAGTGGAAAAGAAAGCGTATGGTGCCTGTTGAGTGTCGAAAGTGCTTTCTTAAATCCAGGTCACTCAGGAATACATTGGGGAGATGGAATCAAAAGGTAAACTGCTGAGAAAATGTCCGATCGGTAAAAAATAAAAATCAGCCCAACAAAAGAATAAGGCAATAAAAAGAACAAAGTGGTAGTGGTATAGTCATACCAAACGATAAGAACATTAGAAGGAAGGAATATGAGAAGCTAGAAGAGGTGAAGACCAAAGTAATCCCAGTGATAATTGGAACTGTGACCCATAATCTAGAAAATAAAAGCTTCTGCAGATTCGAGAGATGTCGTAAAAATCTCTGTCCAGAAAAGCACGCTACGGATAGAATGACGCAGATAGACGCAGAAAGGTTCCAGATCTTTGGTAAAAGTTGAGGATGACCACTCACGAGGAGAGAGAAAATGAAAAAATTTTTTTAGAAACTTTTTTGCTCTGGAAAAGTGAATTTTCTTTTCTATCTTTGTTTATTTGCTGTCTAATTTTGCTTCTGTTTAGCGTCTAGTTTCAATGTTTGCAGGTAATAATGATGATATTAAATCAACAGTGGATCCGGTTCCTGTTTCATCATTGCAAAAGCGCGAAGAGCCTAAAATTGAGACAAAGAAAATTGGTAAAAAAATAATCGACGGAGTTCCTGAAGGCTTTTTTGATGATGAAAAATTAAATAGTCGTGTCGTAGAAACAATTGAAAAAAAAGCGAATATGGAAGATGAATATGCCAATTTCATGAAAGAATTACATGAAGCCAAACAAAAACATGATGAGAAGGAAATAATGGAAGAAGAGATTTCGGGAATAAAACGAGATATTGAACACATCGATGAACAGGTATATTTTTTTATCAGTTCAGTCGATTGATTAGTTTGAAGTTTTATTTAATTTTTAAATTTTGATTTTCTTTTTATCGAGATCGAGGAAATTTTTGTATAAAAGGTGTTTTAAAAATTTTTTCGAATTTTCACACGAATTTTTTTACTCTGCATTATCACTGAGAATTAAACAGGTTAAATTTTATTAATAAATATTAAGATTGAATGTTGGCGAAGGGTGAACAAATATGAAGTAAAGCTGGAAGAACTAAGGAAAAAATTTAGACAGCAACGTGCAAATTCTCCCAGTATAAGTGCAAATACAATGGAATGCGATGTTCCGACCTTAGAAGACGACGATAGTAATATAGATGAGTTTATGGATTGGAGGCGTAAGCATTTGTGATCACTTGTAATATCTTATATTGCTTGAGGTGTTTAATTGTGTTAACAGTTTTTAATTGCTTTCAAAATTTGCCAAATTATATCATTTGAGATCCTCGGAGGTCCAAAGTGAAATCAGTCCGCTTTTAAGAAATCTTAAATAAATATTTTATATTTTTTATGTATTATTCGTATAATTTTCATCATCACTTATCCTCATCTATTTTTACTCGTTTACAGCATTTTACGCATGTATGGTTTTAATCTTTATAATTTTTTTTTGTTCTAAGTCATAGCCCTATAAAAGTGTAATTTATTTGAGCAGTTTCTGTGCGGTTTTACGTTCATGGCATTTTTTCTCGAGACTAGAGAATATAATATATGCTGTTAAGATATGAATTGAATCCTTTCGTTAAACTTTTATTTTCCTTGAAGAAACCCTATTCCACATTGCTAGAAATATTTTGCGCCTTTTAATTTCGAAAAAGAAAAAATGGCATTACTCGTGTATTTTCTCTTCTTGAAAAGAAACAAAAATTGTCGATTTAGAAAGAAATATCAAAATTTAAAAATATCAGAATTAAAAATGAAAAAAATTAATTTGAGCAAAAAGTTTTTATAATTTATTGCTGAATAATTTTGATTTTCGACAAAATTATTCGGCAATTTGAACGCTGTTCATTTGTTTAAATGATTTTTTTGTATTTTAATTTCGCCAACAATGATTAAAAGTGGAAATTTTTTTTGTCTTATTATATATTATTATTATTTATGAAAAATCTATTAGTTAAATCTGAATATTTATAGAAAATAGTCGTTGATTAATGAATAATATTTTTGGATAAAAAAGGGCATTATTCATGTTATATTGTCTACTAAAATATTGTCAATTTACTTGATTAATTGATTGATGATGAATTAATAGAAGAAAAAGAGTCGCTAAGGATATTTATATACGCATAATCCTTTTGATGAATAACCATTAAGCGAAATGCATGAGATTTAGTTGTCTCTTAAAAAAGAATGTTAAATGTGATAATCAAGTAGAAAATATGAAAATCTTTTTGACTGATTTGTAAGCAAATGTTTGCGATCATTGTTAGTTGGTTAATTTCCCTCCATAAAAAATATAAATGCTATTAGAAAGATTTCTTTACTAGGGAGATTTTATTTGATAGTGAAAATATAGATGGGTCATGAAGAAGATCCAATTTTTTTTTTTAAATAAGTTTACTCCTGCAAGAGATACGATTCGAAGCTCGTCGAACTGTTAAGGTGAAGTGATGTTTTTGCTTTATCAGAAATTAACTTTTGATAAATCTTTTATAAAGCGATAAAAAAGTGAGAGTTTAGATTTATTTAAGATCAGCAATGGTTTATGTTTTCGAAAATGTGTAAATCAGAAGTAATTTTATTCAAGTTGTTTCTGATATTAAAATTTTTCGTCTATAATCGGAAGAGAACTCTATTGTGCTTGTGATAAATGGTTGTTAAGCCTTTATCAGCTAAATAATACGATTTTTTCTCTCCAAGCAACATAAATTCTATTTTAATACGAAAATAGAAAATGTTTAGTGAATTAATATTCATAATAATAATAATAGTAATAAATAATAATAAATGGTACGCTATTACATCACATCATACAACAAAAGAAATATTTTTATCGTAGATTAAAACTGGAAAGATGAAAAGATTCCCAAAAAATGACCTTTGACACTTACCAACTATCATTTCTTCTATATCCTTTGAAAGGAAATTATAATCAGGTTAGGTGTTATCATTTTGTGCTCTGCGATTTTAGACTTTCTGATCCATTTTTTCGGTCTTCGGGTTGATTTATTCGAAGAGATTTATAAAAATGCTACTGTAGTGCGATTTATAAAGCCAAACCAGTCAAACATAAAATTAGGTTCGTTAAGTTCTCTTATTATTTTTGAAAAATATTTTTAACATTTTTAGGAAAAAATTCTCAACAAAAAAAACTTTATTTATGGCTGAAAAATGAAAAATATTCGAGATTTTATAGAATAATATGGATATGAAAGAAGAATATAATTTTGCGAGTAGCAGTAGCAAATGGCGAAAATACGATTCTCGTAAATGCGCTATCAACTGCGACGAAAAGCATTTCATTGATTCCAATAGAGATAGTTTGGAAAAGATTTCAGGTAAATTATCATTTTTTTATCATTTCAAGGTTTCATATAAATTATCATTTTCTATAATTCTATAATTTTCTATAATTCTTTACACATATATCATTCATTTGATATTTGAAAATCCATATCTTTTTTTTAACACTAATTTTCTTGATAAAAATTTGATTTGATGAACCACAAATAAATTAATTTCGAATAAGATTTTTTCTTTTATCTTGTATTATCTCTTCGACTAAAAATAGACAATCATTCTTATCACTTAACATCGTCGAATTAAACTGAAAATTATTTTAAAAAAACCAAATGCAATTGCCTTCATTTGAGTTTGAAAAAAACAGATAAGTATTGTATTCTCAAGTATTTACGCAAAATTAATTCAATGACTCGGTGATAAGATAATTGCCATCGAGAATGGTTTGGATTTCACCACGAATTGGATTTCACCATTTCTTTTCCCAGCAGAAGTAAACCTGTCGAATGTTGACGCCTTATTTCTATCACCAAGAGACTTCCTGGCAAACAATACAAAAAATCTAATCATATTTAATCATATCAGAGAAAATATTGGATAATCGAGTTCGTGCTACAAGATGCATGCAGCACCAAGGCTGTTCCTGTTTTTGTTGCAACATTATATGATATTTTTGTGAAGCGTTTATTGATATCCTGGGAGTGCTAATGGTTTTTTTTGGTGAAAGGATCCGAGGAAGGAATTTTTACTAATAAATAGCCTTTTATAGTTTTTTCATAATTTTTCTATCCTTCATAAAATTCACCCATCTTTCATTCGATCTATCATCAAATTGATAAGTATTGAACCAACTTTTTGTGATTAACTTTTATCAATTTTTATTCGTTTTGTTTTTTTATCATTATTATAAAATTTTTTTACCGTATTTAATGGCATATTTTCTTTTTAAATTTAAATTGGCTTAAATTTTTTTCTTTAAATATAGAAATTTAAGATGAACGAAAATTAAATCCACCGCTCCGATTAAAAAAGCGAACAAATATTAATCTACGAATGATCGATGGAATTCCTGAAAGATTTTTTTACGGTGATGAGCCAGCAGAACAAATCGTTGAAAGTGCTAATAGAGAAGCTGTGATTAAAAAACAAAATGATAATTTTAAAAAAGCATTTAATGAAGCGAAAGAGCGACGAAAAGAGGAACAAGCGAAGGAGGAGGAAAATTCAGCAAGGCGACGGGAAATTGAATTTATCGACGAGCAGGTGAAATTCATTTTTAGAGGCCTTTTCAAACGCATGAGAGATTTGGGATTTTTCGTAATATCTTAAATTTCCCTAGCAGTGCCCTATTTTGGATGAATCTTGTTCCTCGAATCTGTTAGAGTCATTTTTTAGTTTTAGAGGTCATTGGGACTATTTTGGCCTTCACATTTTACTTTTTCTCTACTTCTTTCACTAATTTTCTGGCTGTTTGGCTAGTTCTTGTTTGTCTGTCCAAATGTAAAAGTCCCATATGATCTTGGCTTTATTATTCATGATGATTTTGTCGGGAATCTCCCATCTGGTTTTGGAAGGGTCTAAGCCATAAATATATTGAGCAGTAATTTCATTAGTCAGTGCAAATTATTTAATTATGCCTTTTAATGTATATCCTGTCGTCTGCATTTTCATGTTGGATTTTTATGCTGCCACTTTATGTTGGATTGTTTTCTGTAGTTTTTTTTTACACGATTTGAATCTTGTGGTACTTAGATATTTAGTACTTGTTATGACCAATTCCTGCTATGACCAATGTCTTATATGTATATATATATATATGTACATATACATATATATATATAAATATTTTTACATATACATATTATATATATTTTTAACAGTACATTTCTGATTTGGCTAATTTCGCTGATCATTATGACGAAACGTCAGAGAGGTTTAAAATAGAATTTGGATGAAATATCCTAGCGAACTAGGTCTTAATGGTTGGTTTACTCGAGTCGTGAGCCAGAAATATAATGGCTTGAAAAATTCCGCTCGATTGTCTCATGTATTTTTTTGGTTTTATTTTATAAGTCTAATTATTTTCACTTGAAGAATTTCCTCTTCACAAAATTTTATTAAATTCTAATTTTGATAATTTTGCCACAAAAAAATCAAATTTTTTATAAAATTTACTTTATTAGAAATTGAAAATTAGGCTTAAAAATATTTTAATCTTTATAAACACTTATCTTTTTTATAGATAAAATGTTGGCAAAGAGTATTAAATCTTCAAAAAAGGCTCGAGGAATTCAAAAAAAAATTTGAGGGAGATCGAGAACGAGCTGCATCAACCGTTCGAGCTACTGATAACAATGAAGCAAACGCTACACTCGAGGATGTCGATTTAGATTCTTTGATGGACTGGAAGCGTAAAAGATTATCATAAAAGATAATAATTTTTCTTATTTATTAGTTTATTTATTTACTTATGTATAAATTAATTTCCCTTCTTTTTTATATTTTTTTAAATAGTATTTTTGTTATTTTTATAGGATTGCTGATAGAATTACAAATGCTTCTCCAGTACCACTCACATTTTTATTTCTAATGATAGATTTTAGTGCAATCAATTTGATCCTAGCTGAAGAAGTTTTTAAAAAATGGTACTTCGCTTTACCTAAATAGGTTTTTCTTTTTGCGTCTCATGAAATTTATTAGAGCTTAGAATTATAGAGGTTAAACGCGTATACTGTCATCCACTTTTCATAATTCTATAAATAATCATCTTTATCATTCATATTGAATTTCCTTTGAATGGCCTCTATTTTGGTTGAATGCTCTATAAACGAATTCGAATTCGATTTAGACTCGTTGTAGTACTTATTAGAATTATTTCCACACTGAGAAGAGCTATAAAAATTTAACGAGCAAAGACTTACAAAATTTAAATCCCTCTTCGCTTAAAGTGCCATTAAATTTTTATGCGAATACCTAGCGGATCCGATGGAATATGATTTTATTTTTCTAAGAAACCATCTCAAAAGATATGGAAACCACATTAGAAATTCCGCAACCACTAGGTTTTAGCATTTGGATTGGATGTGTTCGATAATAGTACTGAATTGCTTAGAGATTTCACATCCATGATTTCTTAAACGACAACCAAAATCAGAAATTTCTTTGCCAAGATTGTAGTTCGCTTGCAAATAAATTGTTTTAAAAATTTTATTTAATATTTATTTTAAAAAAATTTAAAATTTTTTTTCAAAATTGCTGCATATTCCTGCAACTTCCTGCAACAATTTTATATAAAAAGGAAAGGCATATAAATATGTAACAAAAGGAGCAAAGTAGAAGCAATAAAAAAGGAGCATATAAAAAATATTTCAAAATGGTGTATTGTAAAGGTAATCGTGTTGAGCAAAATGGTACTTGGTGATTGGCCAATGGTTCTTTTCTTTTCGTAATCAGAAGATATTCTAATGAAATAATCAGTACTACTGAAAACGCACCATGCTTTCGGTTTTTTCATGTGTAACGGTACTCATGTATGTACATAAATCAGTTAACAGCTGGTTTATCCTATTTATTCATTTATAAGTTTCCAGAATTTTCGTTAGTTAAATCACTTTTTCCCTAATCCTAATTCTAATTTATATCATATCGCTGCAATATTCGGATAAATATTTTGCGTATAAAATTTTTTAGCCATTCTAAAAACATTGAATTGAAATTGAAAAATGTTGTAAATATTTTTTTCCGTGAACTTACCGTTTAGCAATGCTGGTTTGGTTGATCACCAGACTGAAAGTCGTTCGGAACGCTTCGGTGAAGAACAGATCTCGTCAGCACTGGAAATAATTATCGGTTGATGCTTAATAGAAAATTCCTGAAAATTCCCATCTTCTTTTATATTTCCAGAAAAATTTACCTGAGAAGTTGCATTGTTGCATTTCCGACATAATTATCGGCCAATGCTTCGATACATTGCCCATTGGTTTTCTGAGAGTCTTATATCAACACATGAATAACGTTGCAAACATTTTACATGCACCAATGAATGGAATGTGGCTTCTTGCTGAATTGTGCGAAATATCATATTCTTGCCGCATGATAGTTAGTCGATAACATCCAAAATCTTCGAAAATTTGACCAAATTCAAAAAAATTCGCGTTTAAACTAATTTTTTTCCCCGGTAATTTAATGGGTACTTTTCCTTATCATATTTCATTAGCGAAGAATATTTCATTAAGATGAATCCACTGAATGAGATCATCACACCAGCAATTCTGGGAACATTGGAAAAAATTTATCTCCTTAAATGCTCACTTCTCTCTATCAACCTAAGATTGTTCTTATCAGCTTTAAATCAGAAAAAAATAGTTATAATTTACGTGATTATTTGTCAAAAAAGCTCATCAAAATAATCTAATCAAGTAATATTGCATATTTCTTGGAGCATCGTTTCTGAGATTCCACTCCATGCAAAAATAAACCTAACCAGAAATCTGAGTGATGCTGTCGACTCGCCTGTACTTCTATCCTCAAAGGACTCTCTGGCACATTTTTCTAGTGTGACATGCCAGTGAAGCAAGTTTAACCTGAATGCTTTGACCTGAATTATTTGTTAGACTTCATATTAATTTAAATGAGTCAATTTGCTTCTATTAGCACCTCCTTGTGTATGCAGTAAAGTAAAATAAAATTTAGCAAAAGCCTCAAGTAGACAACAGGAATAATAAGTATCAGGCATATTGGAAATTATATCAGCCAAATGGAGTATAGCAAGTACGAGCCAAACTTGAACTACCATTATATATCACCGAAATGAATTTTAATTCATTTTAGATAGAGGTGACTGTCATTAAAATTGATGCGTTCATTTCATAAATATTTTAATTTCCGTTAGGACGAGCGTACTAGTCAACGATGTACTACTGAAGATGGCTCTATTTTATAAAATAAGCAGCGAAAAGATTTCATTATATGATTATTACGGTTTAAACCTAAATTTATAATTAAGGACAGAAATTCAACGTCATCATATTGGGTGCATGTGAAATTGAAACCTCCGCATGCAGTTTGTCCATGTAAGCCATTCATTGATCCGGCAGATTCACAGTATTTTCCTAAGATTCTCATGAAATCAGGTATTCATTTTTCCTCCATTCTCGAGCTAAATATAATTAGCGAATTGTCCAAATATATTCTATTTTTTCAATGGCCTCAGGTGTAGCCAGGCATACTGCCGGACTTGGTTTGGTCATTACCACTATTAAAATTTGCAAATTTTGCCTTGTTTCCTTAAATCCTCCATTTTTCATTCCATAAAATTCTCTATTTTCAGTGAAATTTTTCAGTAAAAATTTTTTTTTATAGCTTTTACTCTGTGTGAATCGATTCAATCGCTACAAATGTATTCTGAGCAGAGAATTCAAAAATGTTACGTTCAAATATTGGAAAAAATTCAATTATCTAATATCTTTTTTAATTGCTTATCATTAATCACTATTTATCATTAATCTTTTTGTTGAGTTCGAATATACTTTTCGAATTTATTGATTACTGTATATTTCATAAAAAAGAACTTCAGCCCATTGCAAAAATTTTTATTAATAAAAATTATAAACGAAAATTTTTATGCCAATATTATTTGTTCCAAAAAAAAGCTTCAAATATAATTGAGTGCCTTATATATATATATATAAGGGCTACGTGCTGAATTTTTTTATACGAAAAATTTTTTATAAAATTTCCAGAAAAATTTTATAGATCATGTAGAATCTTTTTTATCTTATAGAATCTTTTTTTTTAGATGAGCAAAAAGCATAATAGATTTTATTTTTATAGACAATGATAAATATTATTTTAATAAAATAAAAATAAATAAATAAGTTGCGAATAACTATCGTTAAAATTTAATAAGTAACATTATAATTTAAAAATTCAACTGGAATTACCAGATTTTTGCATTTATTGTTACTATTTTTAATAATAAGAAATAAGCTGATACTAAATATAATTGGTAGTTGGATCGGGGCATATATATATATATATATATATCTTCTACAAAATTTTTTTTATAATGATCCATTTTCCTATATGGATTAATTATTTATGAAGGATCTGGGCTTTATATCTTCGTTCTCATGATAAATAATGTATCCACCATTCAACCATTTTGCATATGATAAGTGGCTCATGCCGATTAATTCATCTATTCTTGGTCATTTTTTTATAAGCAGTTCTATTCATTGAAATTGATTATAAGGATCTGGATTACTCATGGATTATTTGGTATTGATGCTATATGCCAGTAAGCAATAGCAGAGATTATTGCTTTGGTAAAATACTATTTAATATTATTTATTAATACTATTTAATATTAGCCTTCATTAATGAAAACTTATCACTTATTTGATAAATATAATCATTATTGATAAAGATGAATCTATCGAAATTCGATAGAGATGAATCAGAAATTAACACAGCTGTACAAAAAAGCAGATGGCAATGGATTTATTGTTTTTAGCAATCGACTTTCTTTAATGGCAAAGAACAAATTTGGTGGTTAGCTTTTTGATTTATTTTGTATTTTAAGGTAACAAATAAAACAGTTAGCGCAAACTATTTTCGGTTAGATTTGTTCTCCTCGTGTCAGTTAGAAATTATTAATTAATCATGATTATTAGTTAGTCATTTCGTGATGGAATTATAGTAGGGCTACTTCATCCAGGTTTTTTATTGACGGATCGCTAAGTATTCTAGCAGTTGATCGTTGTGCAACCACTATCTGGTATTCTGCAAGGTGGATATATTTTGGATTATCAATGTTGCCTGTGGAAACGAATTTTCCGATTTTTTACCAGACCACTCTTTTTCTTCTATAGCTCGCATTATTTCTACTTAAGCTCGCTATAAAGGTTCCAAGATAGGAGACATTGGAGATACTGAGATATTGGAGGCTTCATAAATAAAAATCTTTGCAATGTTGGACTATAAGGATTAGTGCTAAATAACATTTTTAGTTAAGAGTATAAGTGCCTCAGGATAAATTATTAGGAATTATAGCAAAGTATTGTAGTGATACTTAGAAAGACTGCCAAAGTTAAAATAGGCACAGCATTAAGTGACGGACTTTAAGGGATGGAACTAAGGGTCGTAAAGAAGTGCGCTTTGAGACTTAATAGAATATTGATGGATTATAATGCAGCTAAATGTTGTTAAGAGACCAAAACTAAACTTGCGAGAGCCAGTATAAAAAATTTAAGAAATAAAAATTGGTTATAACAAGAATAATATGAAAAAAATTTTTTAGGTATTATGAAGCTATAACTACTTCAACGAAGGTCTAAATTAAATAAAATGAGATAGGATGACTTAGGCTCAATCAATCCGGATACTGTGGTTCTACTAAGTTTGCCTTTCAATAATTCGGCCGATGTTGGCGAATTACTAATGTCAAGGGATTCTCTGGCATATTTGCCTAGTTCGGCAAGGAACGAATCTAACCACTAATGATAAGTAGTTTCAAAAATCATAAAATCAAGATGATTTTGATTAAATTATAGGAAATTTTAGATAAAAAAAGACAAAAGACAACCGATGAACAGACGGAAAAAATCCACTTTCACTTTAGAAATCTTTTGTATTCCTCCATAATCACAATTTTTATTGCAGTATTTTTGGTTCGTTTTTTCAATAAATTTTATCATTTGATCTAAAATATTTGAAATTCAAGGCTTTTGCAAACACTTATCACAAGTTATTATACGGTATTTGCTTGGTTTTTGATATATATGGTATAAATTTGACAAGAGCATCAGTGGCTCAGTGGTAGGATAATAACCACCCAGAATCGAAGGTTGGGTTCAAATTCTGAGGTACCACCCTTCATTGTGCATAGTATCTTGTAATGGAGAAAAGCAAAGAAGATTAGAATAGCTCAGTGGGTTGTTGCTCAATTCGGAACACCGATGCTGAGCTTCTGTTCTTCGCAGGAGAACCAAAAATCCGAGTGATGCTGGCGATTCACCTATATTTCTATTGCCAAGGGACTCCTCTCGTATATTTAGTCTAGTCGACAAGCCAAGGGACCGAGTCTAATCAGTAAAAGTGAGTGTTCTTTAAAAAATAAATATGAACTTGATATGGATTAATAATTGTTGATAGAGATGCAATCTGCATATTTGCAGATGATTGTTTCTAAAATATTGTACGTTGACTACAGCAAATATATAGAAGAAGATGAAATTTTGGATCAATTCGAAGCAAAAGAAAGAACCACTAACAAATTAAGCGAAGACAATGATGGTATAAAGTCAGCACCTACACGTAAAAGTAAAGTGAAATTGAGCCTGGGCGATCGATTCGTTATACATCGGAAAGGTGATCTTTACATTGTGGATGAAGTAATGGCTCGTCCTGACAAAAAGTGTGATATTCTAATTATATTGTTCTTAATTCATTTTCTAATTTTTAGGCCAGATAGACGAATTAATAAGCGAAGCCTTCAAGCTAAAAATTTTTGTTGAAAGAAAAAAGAGATATAGGAGAAACTCAAATCCCTACGCAGAATTATGACCATTAACATCCTGAAATTCTTATTCTAAATTTTGTCCTAAACACTTGCCTACTATGATAAATTCTTAGACTTTAACTACTTTTCCTGTAGGGAAATTGGAATTATTTTATCAAAAAATAAATATAATTGCATAGAATGGTAATTATGACGTGAAAAAAATTCATCGAGGCTCAAAAAATTGGTCTGAAAAAATTTTTACGTTTCATTCCTTTTGCTTATAATAACTTAAAAATTGAAAAAAAAATAAAAAATTCTGAGGAAACGATAGACAAAAAGAATCTTCAAAATAAATTTACAAAAAGTTGAAATAAATATTTATGGAATTATTTTAATATATTAGCGTAATGTTGCCCTTAGGCAGTCTCACTTCAGCCTTTATACAGCTGCTGAGAAAAACAATCTAAAAAGAAAGATAGCTGACTGGACAAAAACGAACATTTCAGGTTGTATATCAAAAGAAAACTAAAGGTCGATGAAAGGACGGTAATTTCTAGTGTTGCAGTTATAATCCCCGACGGTATTTTATCAAATATTTCGCCTCAAATTTTGCCTCAAAACGTGGAAATTTTCAAATCTAATAATATTTATTATTAATGGTTGTAAAATTTTAAAATTTTAGGGAAATCTTAACCGAATAAATTTCCATAAAAATAAAAATAATATATTCTCATAAAACAAGATAATATGATATAAATGATATAATTAGCCTAAGGTTCAACCAAATATTGGTAAATAGGTCAGAGGTCAGATCACGGTTGAGGAAAATTTTTATTATTATTATTTATTATTTTATTATTTTTATTTTTATTATTACTTTTTTTCCACTTTTTACTAGAATGCAGTAAATATATTGGTATAAATACTGACTATTTTTATATTTTCAGCCAAATATTTTGCTTTCTATAAACTCTAATAAAGTGCTAAAGACAAAAAAAAGTTTAGAAACTGCTATAGTAAATTCTGGCTTTCAGATATCGAAGAGCCAATAGATTCATCCAAATGGCCTATCGACCATTCGAAATTGCAGTCACCCCTTATGCAATTAATAGTTGCTGCAGCATATACAACGGGAGTGGTCACTACGAATGATTCGGTTTTAACTGATATACTTTTAATTGGTCTTGGTGGTGGTTCAATTAATAATTATCTTCGATATACGAGAAATAATGTTAGTACCACTACAAAATCACGAAAAAAAAAACATAACCATCTCTATTTAATGATAAATTCGAAACAACCTATACGAATCTTAGCCAAGCTTTTTATTCGCTTTATTACAGGTTAACATTACTGTTGTTGAACTTTATGAAGATACTGTTCAAATAGCAAAGAAATACTTTGGCTTAGTGGAGGATGAAAGACAAAGATGCACTGTTGATGATGGTGCTAAATTTATCAAAAAATGCACTGAAGAAGGTAAACTTTGAGGAATTTTTCTAGTATCTTCTTTGTATTCAACTTTTTCAAAACTTTCAAAGAAGAATTTACTCATTGATAATAAATGGTAGACTGATATAACTGATGATAAATTTGATACATAAATCCCATAAATATTTGAATAAATTTATCATTTATATAAGGCCTACATTTCAGGAACAAAATTCAATGTCATCATATTGGATGCCTGCACAACAGAGCCGAATACTGGGATTTGTCCTTGTAAACCTTTCTATAATCTTTCTGTGGCACAATTTTTTTCAAAAGCTTTGAAGAAATCGGGTTAGTTTTGCTAAGTTATTGACGAATTGCTGGTAATTTTATTTGCCTATTCCAAAATTTCATCATATATTCAAAATTTTATCATATCATATCATATTAGTCATATAGCCATTATTATCACTGAAAGACTATTAGATAAGCTGATTCCGCTGGCTGCAACCATTATAAGCTAACCACTTCTATACCAGATTCTGATAACTATTTTTACAAACACATAGCCAATCGAGAAAGGAAGTATTTTAAGTATTTTAAATACTCTGAAAAAGCTTAATTTATTATTTATCATTTATTTATTAATTTTCCTTTAATAAATTACTGTAATTCAGATTTGCTGCTAAAGATCCATTTTTATTTTTATCTTCATAACTTAATTTTATAATTTTATAACTTTCTTAACTTAATTTCTATAACTTAATTTTATAATTTTCTGCCATGGTAATCGGATAATATTGCAATCACCCCTTGCAAATAATAAAGTACCTCATCGACACTCGGAACAATCACCACGTTAATATGTTAAGGTCTTTATTTTTAGGTGTTCTATTCATAAATTATTTGTCGCTTGGAGAAAGAGAAAAGTTACCTTTGAAAACAGTGAGTTTTTAAAATGCATTTAAAAAATTATTGCAAACTTTTCAATTATAAAATATTTTATTATATTAATCATATAAATTAATTTATTATTTATTATATTATTATAAGTATTATAAATTATGTAAATGGATTTCGAGTAAATTTATTAATAGCTTATTAAATAAATGGATGTAAATTTTTTTATTTGATTAGCGAAATAAGACTAAGTAATATTTTGATAGAATAGTGAATTAACTAGTTTTAGCTTTATGGTGCACTATGCTTGGCTATTTATTGATGAAGGATGAACGCGTTTTAAAATATTTTTAGGTAATGAACGCATATAAATCGGTTTTTAAAGATTGCCTCGTGTACCAGGTCGGAAATTCTGCAAACCATGTAATTGCTTGATATTAATATCATATAGGCTAATTTTATCTATTTTTGGAAATGATAAATATCATTTAAAAATTGTTTTTTCCTTATTTTTCTCAAGTTTAAAAAGAAAATTTTTAAAATATAATCATATTTTAATAAAAAGTAAAAGTAGTAATATTTATTGTAATTTTTGGTCAAACCCTTCAAAAAGATTTCTCATAAATCGGAATTTCAGCATAAAATGGAGCTTGGCCTAGTCGAAATCTAAGTCGCTTAAGCTATCATCATAATAAATGTTATATACCTTTTCAGTATATAATATGCGTAAATACTGATCGTCAAGTAAATTATATCAATAGCAACAAATTTCATGATGATATGTCGAAATATTGGAAAAAGCTCAATTTTCCGGGTGAATATTGGTTGGATTTTTAATCTACGTTGTGCGGATGAATAGTTTTCTTATTATTTAATAGTTATCGCAATTTTGCAATTGAATCATTATTCGTTTCCGAAAAATTGGTTCCATTTCATGGATCATAAAAATGAATGAAATGAAAAACAGATTGTTACAAATAAAAAAATTGAAAATGGAAAAAAAAATCAAATTTTTGAATTGATAAAGCATTTAGCCAAAACAACAAAAATCTATAAAAATCTATAGTAAATAAAATGAGTCAGTGCCAAGAATCGAGGTCTGAGCACCAATTTCGCACCAATTTAAGGAATGTAGAATGGTTCAATAGGTTGTTGTTCAATTTGAAAGAGTGTCAATGCTGAGGTCCTAGCAGAAGTAAAATTGTTCAAAAATCTCGTCGATGCTTGCGATTTACCTATCGATTCTATCGCCAAGGAATTCTCTAGTATATTTGTCTAATGCAATATGCCAGATCATAATATTTATAATCTTTATTCAACATTCTAATTATCGGTGAAATTAATGGTTCATAAAATGGAAAAATTTGTCCAAAAGAATGCACAAAAATCACCAGAATAATGATTTGAATTGTAGACTAATGCAGTAATAAAACCAGTACAATCAATCCAATTAAAAAATGGGAAAGTCTTCCAAATCGTCAAATTTCATGTAAAATGCGCAGATAGTAGGCTAGAGAAAGGCGTACTTTGACTTACTTATGCTTATATGATCTTCTTGAAGCAAATACCTTACAAAACTTTACAAATTTTTCAGCTTCTGTAGGATACAATCTACTCTTTTGCACTTGCTAGCTCTAAGACTAATCGCAACTATTAATAGAGCGAAACAAATTCTCTGCTGCCTCGTTCAGCTAAGGCAGGAAGGTATTAGTACTAAATAAGATGCTCGCCATTAATACTGTTCCACATAATAAATTGCTTAAGGCCATTAATAACTTGGCAACACTGGAAATATATTCAGTAAGATAATTATAAAAGCAATCAGGTGGTTCAAGAGGCAATATTTTCCCAAATATGGCCAAAGTTAAGTCGGAGCTGCCAAATTAAGGCATTTGCATTTGTTCCTTTTTTGTTATTTTTTTCCGCAATTTAATGACAATAAAAATCTTTGATCATTTGCATATTTAATTTCGAGATTATCACTTTATCACTTTATCACATATTAAAATGAACGACTGGAGGTGACAAAAAGAGATTATGAAAAGAATCAAGAGAGGTCACAAGGAAACTACAAAAAAAATTTTAAAAAATCAACATTAGATTTACTTAAATTATCATTGGTGTACCAATAATTTAAAAGATAATTATTTAAAGATAATTTATTATTATTATTATTTGTATTAAAATTTTTTTTCCCAGACAAAAATATTTCCCAGACTTTTTTACAACTTTTTTTTTATTTATTTGCATTTATTTACAAAATTTATTAATAATCGCATTTGACCGCAAATAATCATTATTTCCAATTTTTTGCAAGCAATCAAGAAATGTATTCATTTCATCGTTTTTTTAACATATTGCACCATTATTGGTTATCAATGGGCTCCACTGGCCACAAGCGTAAGGCGTTTCGAAAATAAATACATTTATTTGATAAAATTGTTAAATTTAAATTCACACAATATTTATAAATTTACGATTCATAATTGCCTGAAAAATTAAGTTTTTTCCAAAATCTACACATTTCATATTCATATTTATCATTTTTAAGAAATTCAACTCGATTCTGCTGATTAACACATACGATATACTGAAATAATTAATATTCATTTACTTTATTTCGATTTAAAATATAAATCTATATTTTTCAATATTTTTTTCGTTTGTTTTCAGTTGATTTACGAGAAAAACGAGGAAGAAGAAAGAGCTAGGATGGTGATAAATGTGCATAATGGATATTTTCATAGTTTCATAGTTTCAATGAGGAAAAAAATATAAAAAATTGATAAAATAAGCAAAAATAGTTCAAAATATCTGCAAAAATTATATAAATTGAAAATAATAAAAAGGAATTACAAAAATTTACTTTATTCATTAAATATAAAATATCGGCCAATAAATTATTTTAGGGAGAAATATAAAATACATTCGATAAAATATATATGCCTAAACTTATTGCCATTTGCTTTTTAAACTCTTTCGAATAAAACTTGCAATTTTTCAGCTTATCAGCTTATTGAAGGCAGCTTATCAATTTTTCGGCAAAGAATCACTAGGAGGTGCAATGATAAATGAACATCAACACGACTAAATATTGTCTAGACGGATAAGGAATGAGAGGAAAAAAAATCAACTTACATCATTTCCTGTGCGTTGTACTGGGTGCCAAATACATTTTACAAAAAACTGGTTGTAAATGTTTACGAACTAAAATTGTTGCGTATTAGTATACCATAAAATTTACTTAATTCAATTTGGTACCAAAAAAATCACCAAAAAATAGAATCATCGCAGTTTTTTGAAATCGATGAAAAAATGACCATATAAAAAAGTGCATTTAATATTATTCTTCAAAAAATTAGAAGCTGCGATGATTTTAATAAAATGTAAAATTTTCTTGGTCAAATTTCTTATGAAAAATTAACTAAATCGGCTAATCCACAAAAATTAAATAGTTACGACAAAATTTATTAGAAACTCACTTTTTCCGCTGATAAAATTTGTTTTCCAGGAGAGAAAAAGTTTATAATGAGAACACCTTAAGTGTTAAGTATTAATTTGTTTGGCAAAATATTTATAAATTTCTTTCAGAGTGCTTTAAAAGAATGGAAATATAGCCAAAAATTCTTAAATCAATGGGTTTCCTGATAAGAATATGATTACATAAAACTTTGAACCTATAATTCACTATTAAATAAATGGAATTATAGTTTATCATTTTAATAAAATAAAGCAATTTTTACCCGTTTTTTTGAGAATTTCTGGAAAGTATCTAACCACTGAATGTTTAACGAAACTATCACTAGGCGCTTGAACATATGTATTGTTTTCTTGACTAGTGTCCAAAATAATAAGGTCGAATTTTTGCCCTGAAGAATCGAATATAACATTCACATTACATCAGATTTTTCGCACCATAAAAATAACATTTAGATTTTGTCAATCTGGGGAATTTTTTTTAAATTAATCATTTTCAATAAATATGCAACTGCTTTTCCGCAAGATTTCCCGCAAAATTTAAATTTAGTGATATTTACTGATATTCAAATTTTTAAATTTACTGTTTAATTCTAAAATATTTAAATTTAAAAAGGCTAAAAATTTGTTAACCTCTTTCCGCACATTTTCTAATATATATAGCACCGTCTTCCACGACGCATCTTTGCCTTTCATCTTCATTAAAACCGAAATAAGTCTTAGCTAAATCTACGCTAGTCGGATCGATCTCGACAACAGTGACATTAATCTGCAGTAAATGATTACTATAGTAAAAAATGATCATTCGCTTAACATATAGCAGTTATTGTATGCTGATAAGATAACATTTTTAGTGGCATGTCGCAAATAATTATTGGCAGATCCCCCGCCAAGTCCAATTATAAGTGCATCGCCAGGAATGGTTTCATCCATATTAATCGCTCCAGTTGCATATGCGGCGGATAAAATATAACGTAAATATCTTGGACGAGGATCTGAGTAATCAATTGGCCATTTCGAGGTATCAATTGGTTGCACGATATCGAAAAATAAAAACGATTGAATTTCATAAAATTTCATTATTTAAAAAAAATATTTAATTTTTCTTATTGTTCCTATATCTAAAATTTTGTTCAGCCAATGCGAAATTCGTTCGAGATCTTTTTCATCCGAAACTTCAAGCGATTCATCAATGCAACATCCTCAAGTTCACTCAGTTTAGGCGAGTCGCCAGCACCACACGAATTCTTGAAGGAAAAAAGATTACATTCTACGTAGATGTCTATAAAATCAGGCTGTTAAATAATTTTGACGAATAATTGATTGAGCATAAAATTCCTCACATGTATTAAGATTTTCACCAAGCGATCCAAACGAATGGTAATATGACGTATAAAGAGGACCTAAGAGGACATGCATATGTTACTATAGCATGTGAATGAATAACAAATGGCAAATCGGCTAATGCTGGTGACTTACCTGTACTGCCGCTTTATTCTCTGGAAAAATTAATCTGGTGAAATAATAGTGAAGTGTAATCAGGGATGATAAGTGTTTAGAACAAAAACCATGGAATAGGAAACGAATAAAAACAGCATGAATAATCATTGAGAAGTTAATGATAAAAATTATTTATTTTTTAAAAAAAATTGATAAAATACAGTTGGGTATGATCACTGCAGCGCTGGATAGTTCTGTCCATTTATAGGATAACATTGTTCTATGTATAAACATTCTAAAATTTTTATCACAATCTCGCGCATTATTATCAATTAATTTATGATAAAATCATAAATTGGCAACGAAAAACTTTTTATTTTTCCAAATACTTCAAGCAAATGCAATATGAGGAATTAGTTATTCTTTGCAAAATTTGTGCTTTATTTTTTTTGGAATTTATAATTTTCTATTTTTTTGGTAAAAAAATGGTGTCTTCTTGAAGAGCGGTGGTGAATAACAAGTTGCAGAGTTTTCCAACTGGTATAGTCTGTAGAAGGCAAATAGGAAAGAAAATAATGTAAAAAAGAATCACATACGTTTTGTTACGATAAGCCTTTACCACATCGATAATTTGAATATGTTTTGATTCATATATGACGAACTTTTCACCAATTCTTAGTTTTACTTCCTCTTTATTATTTTTTGAAATTTGGTTCGAAATATATTTTCCCGGTTTTAGCTCCATCTTTGCATAAGAATTCGGATCAGTGGCACTAATTATTTTTTGTAATTTTCCATCTGCTTTATGATTTGCACTTATAAATTTGTTTGTCTCACCGTAAGCGAACCAAAAAAGTACCTACAGAAAAAAAACGACTGTTTTCTTGAATTTCAAGATAAGATAGATTTCAAGATATCTTACATTAAGCTCTTTGCTATGGTTATACATGGCAAATGCTATTTTAGAAAGATTCGTGAATTTTGATTAAAAATTATTAAAATATTATTGAAAATTAAAAATAATTATGTCGAACATACCAAAAAAATGGCAAATAATCTATCGAAGACAGAAAACATTTGAATTCACCGAAAGTAATCTTTTCTAAATGTAAGTATTCGATATCTTCTTTATAATTTTATAATTTTCATAATTTTTCGTCAATATTGCAATTTGTTTATTTTGAACAATTAATCAATGAATAATTCATAAAAACATAGAGATTTTATATACTTTCAAAATTTTTTTATACCGATTAAAAAAAATAGAATATTTTTTAAAATTTATTAATTCTAAAAAAGTAGAATATTTTTTAGAATATTTTAAGATTTATTATTTATATTAAAAATTTGTCGATGTAAATACCACGAAATCTTCTAGCGTTATACAGAATTATAAGGAACGAAATTTATTTAAACTTAAATGTTAAATGGAGAGCAATAATAACAATGTTATAAATCTATTGATATTGCTTATCAATGCTGATAGAAGCATTCGGAAGCATTTTGTGTATATTACTTATCGATAAGAGAATTTTGAAATTTCTGTTACGGAATCCATATTTCCGAAAATTTTCAGTAAATTTCCAATAAATTGCTTGTTGAAAAGGTCTTAAAGGCACAGTGTTAATTCATATTAAGTCGATCTTATTTTATTTTGTAAATTCAGGTTTAAGATTGAATAATGAAAGCATTTTGCTCGATTCATTGGCTTATTGGGAATAAGAAATTTTATAAAAAAATTTCTTGACGATTACAAATAAATCGCCACTTTCGATATAACCAGTCCTTCTTTAAATATTAATATATTTCAATCAAGGCAGCAAGAAAGTTTATCCATTTCAGATCACTCGCATATTAGTTCGCATATTCGATCGCATATGTAGAAAAACTGCATAAGTGGCTCGGCTAATAATTATAAAGCCTAAGCTTAAAGTTTAATAGCTATTCAAATCCAAGTCCGAAATTGCGTTAAATTTTGTGAACTTAGGTAAATAAACTATTTTTACCACCATCTTTTCACCATCATATGGTCAAAATTATAATTTTTATAATTTATAAACCACTTGAGAAAATTTTTGTGTGATTTTATCTCGTTCGCTTAAATGGAGTCGTCTTAGCCTTGGAGCCAGTGGAGAAAGCATAACAAGTAATGGTGAGGGCTGTTGCAAGAAGAAGATTTCGAAGATAAAAGAGCAAGTAACAATAATAAAATTTCAAAACGAATCAGAAAAACACAAAATTTCACCATAGAATTACTTGTACATTACTTATTACCTAATCATTTGATTTGATGCCATCGCGAGAAAGCTTGGTGCTCCAACATGACTCTTAGATAGTCGCCTAATCGTCTTGGACCTTGCTTTTACCAGAATACGAAATATGGCCAAAAATAAGTCGACCTAAAAATAAAAATTTATAATAAATAAAAATTTTTTGTCAAAGTGACATACATACATAATATAATAAGCCAATGCATAGATCTGTCATTTGTTCGGTGTCATTCAGTCGATATGATAAGTTTTATTTTAATTATTCCCTAAGGCTAATCTTTTCTTTGCTTTTCACTGTAAATTATTCTTGATTTGACCTCTAAAATTTCGTTTATTCAACAAGCCTCTCGATTTTTTTTATCGCTTTCTTCAATATGTCCGACCCGATATTTCAAAATTTCCATCAAGAATGTAATTGCGATTCTTAAGAGCAAACCTAATCAAGTAATTCCCATCATTTCCATCAATACTTTGCTATTTTCATCCTTTTCTATTGTCCAATTAATTTTATACATTTTTTGTTTTATTTTTATAATATTTTATTATTTATTATTTTATTATTTTATTTTTCGTTTTTTATTAAATTTTATTTGTGAATAAATTTGTGAATTTGTGAATATTTGTGAATAAATTTATCATTATTTATTATAATATTTTTTTTTATAATATAATATTCATCGATTTCACTATTTCACCGATTTCTCTAATTTCTACCGCAAATATTTTCATATAAATAGCAATAATTGCCAGTTAAGTTTATTGTCTCCGATTTATCCTATTTTTTTGATTTACGATCTCATAGCAACTTTTTCAGTCGCTTTTCGGCTCGATTTAGGCTTAAACCTAGGCTTAGGCTTACACAATGAACTATTGGCGATTGGCATTGTTGTTCATTAAGCCACCAACGCACCACACTTGTGGTTAAACTATTCAAATAATGCCGACTTATAAATAAGTGTTGACAAATGGGAAGTTCAAAATATAAAGAAGGAATATTATTATTATAATTTGGCCAAAGTTTTAAGTCTTATTTTAATTGTTCCCTAAACTTATTGAGCCTATTACACTATTATTTGGCCTAAATTAGGCCTTATTATAGTGGGGATAGGATAGCTTAATGGGTTGTTGCTCAATTAGGAGGTAAGGTTCTGTTCCAAGCCGGAATAAACTTGTCTAAAAACCCGAGTGATGCTGGCGACTCACCTGCATTTCTACCGCCAAGGAACTCTCCGGCATATTTGTTTAATGTGACAAGCCAGCGGAGTGAGTTTAACCATTGATGGTGAAAATTCTTTTAAAAAAAAATTATCGTTAATAAACCAAAACTTTTTGATATATTACTATTTAAGAAATTATGGCGAATATGGTAAGTTGACGAAGCGTAAATTCCGCCGATAATTCCAATCCGGCAATGATTTATTTATTGGATACAGTACGGTTAAAAGAGGAATTGCACGTGAGAGGTTTGAAAACGACGGGCAAAACATAAAAGTGTTTTAGCCGATTGCTCACATGTTTGCATTTTCTAATTTTTTTCTTTTTTTTACTTTCCTTGCTTTTTTAAAAAAATTTTTTCATTCAGAATGCACTTTTGAATGTTTCTTAAGAGCGTTTTTTTCCTCAGCCTTAGACAACAAAATTTTCGATTCTATGAAGGAAAAACGATGCATGAAAAGATTTACGGAGATAGTTGGTACAAATAGAACTTAAACCTTAAACCTTGAGTATCGGCGGTAGAAATCATAGATATTTTGGGATCGTATTACTTTTCTTTTGAAAATGGTTATTGGAAGAAGTCTTCAAAGCGAACTTCTTAGATTGATATAAACTGCCAGACGGTTCCATGCTGCAGACAAAACATCTGATCTGATTCAAAGCGTTTGACATTTATATTTTTCAGTTTTCCAAGAGATATTTCATGGGCAAAAAAAATATTTCTAGCTTAAATTGAAATATTTCTATAGCTTTTTAAATATATATCGCCGATGAGTGAAATGATACTTTTATACATTGAATAAATTCACTGGTATAATGGTTCCCCACTGTAATTGAAAAAGAGAGGAAGCAACCAACTGAAGAGACAAATATCATCGATGAATCTTTTTCAGCGGAATTTTCAATTAGTTTTATTTTTCTTTATTTTTATATCGATCTGATGTGAACTTAGCCATATCATATCAAACGAAAATTATTTTTAAATTATAACTCGATTTTTTAAAATTTTTTGAATTTTTCTTGAATGATAATAATTTCTATTTAAAGCTTACACGTTATTTCATGGTTGGCAAGTTCCACTGGATGATTGGGTAAGGAAAGGCAGACTTCCTTAATCCTAATCCTAATCCTTAATCCTAAAATCAACTGAAGTCA